CACATACAGACATATTGAAACAGGCAATACTAGTTGCTTACTTTCCGGTGACAAGAATTCGATAATTTTCTTCTTTAAAAACATCGTTAATGATAATATATTGTGGTGATTCATGTGTCATCGATATTTGATACTAAGAAACTGGAGTAAGATTGGATTGAATTGGGATTAATATTGAATGGTGTGGTGTGTGGGAAGAAGGAAAAGTTGTATTTTCTATTTTTTCACTCATGATTTAAAAGATATCATGATAACTTTATGTATCATTATCATCATCATCATTGTTATCTTGGTCATATTCGTCATCGGAGAGGAAGTAAACATTCAGAATATTGTAATATTAGCGAATGTTATTATTCATACAAGTCTTATTACATTCTCGAAATGCTCAAATAATGAATTCTAATAATTTTCCAAAAAGGAGAAAAAAGCAATGAGAATTTATTAAATTATTAATTCTTTGATTTATTTCAAATTTTTTGAACTACTGTAAGTTGAAAAAAGCATTATATGAAATTTAAGATTTTATTAAATTTCGATAGATAGATAGATTAGATAGATAGATTAGATAGATAGATAGATAGATAGATAGATAGATAGATAGATAGATAGATAGATAGATTAGATAGATAGATAGATAGATAGATAGATAGATAGATAGATAGATAGATAGATAGATAGATAGATAGATAGATAGATAGATAGATAGATAGATAGATAGATAGATAGATAGATAGATAGATAGATAGATAGATAGATAGATAGATAGATAGATAGATAGATAGATAGATAGATAGATAGATAGATAGATAGATAGATAGATAGATAGATAGATAGATAGATAGATAGATAGATAGATAGATAGATAGATAGATAGATAGATAGATAGATAGATAGATAGATAGATAGATAGATAGATAGATAGATAAATAGATAGATAGATAGATAGATAGATAGATAGATAGATAGATAGATAGATAGATAGATAGATAGATAGATAGATAGATAGATAGATAGATAGATAGATAGATAGATAGATAGATAGATAGATAGATAGATAGATAGATAGATAGATAGATAGATTAGATAGATAGATAGATAGATAGATAGATAGATAGATAGATAGATAGATAGATAGATAGATAGATAGATAGATAGATAGATAGATAGATAGATAGATAGATAGATAGATAGATAGATAGATAGATAGATAGATAGATAGATTAGATAGATAGATAGATAGATAGATAGATAGATAGATAGATAGATAGATAGATAGATAGATAGATAGATAGATTAGATAGATAGATAGATAGATAGATAGATAGATAGATATAGATAGATAGATAGATAGATAGATAGATAGATAGATAGATAGATAGATAGATAGATTAGGTAGATAGATTAGGTAGATAGATTAGATAGATAGATAGATAGATAGTAGATAGATTAGGTAGATAGATTAGATAGATAGGATAGATAGATAGATAGATAGATAGATAGATAGATAGATAGATAGATTAGGTAGATAAATTAGGTAGATAGATTAGGTAGATAGATTAGGTAGATAGATTAGGTAGATAGATTAGGTAGATAGATTAGGTAGATAGATAGATTAGGTAGATAGATTAGGTAGATAGATTAGGTAGATATAGATTAGGTAGATAGATTAGGTAGATAGATTAGGTAGATAGATTAGGTAGATAGATTAGGTAGATAGATTAGGTAGATAGATTAGGTAGATAGATTAGGTAGATAGATTAGGTAGATAGATTAGGTAGATAGATTAGGTAGATAGATTAGGTAGATAGATTAGGTAGATAGATTAGGTAGATAGATTAGGTAGATAGATTAGGTAGATAGATTAGGTAGATAGATTAGATAGATAGGTAGATAGATTAGGTAGATAGATTAGGTAGATAGATTAGGTAGATAGATTAGGTAGATAGATTAGGTAGATAGATTAGGTAGATAGATTAGGTAGATAGATTAGGTAGATAGATTAGGTAGATAGATTAGGTAGATAGATTAGGTAGATAGATTAGGTAGATAGATTAGGTAGATAGATTAGGTAGATAGATTAGGTAGATAGATTAGGTAGATAGATTAGGTAGATAGATTAGGTAGATAGATTATAGGTAGATAGATTAGGTAGATAGATTAGGTAGATAGATTAGGTAGATAGATTAGGTAGATAGATTAGGTAGATAGATTAGGTAGATAGATTAGGTAGATAGATTAGGTAGATAGATTAGGTAGATAGATTAGGTAGATAGATTAGGTAGATAGATTAGGTAGATAGATTAGGTAGATAGATTAGGTAGATAGATTAGGTAGATAGATTAGGTAGATAGATTAGGTAGATAGATTAGGTAGATAGATTAGGTAGATAGATTAGGTAGATAGATTAGGTAGATAGATTAGGTAGATAGATTAGGTAGATAGATTAGGTAGATTAGGTAGATAGATTAGGTAGATAGATTAGGTAGATAGATTAGGTAGATAGATTAGATAGATTAGGTAGATAGATTAGGTAGATAGATTAGGTAGATAGATTAGGTAGATAGATTAGGTAGATAGATTAGGTAGATAGATTAGGTAGATAGATTAGGTAGATAGATTAGGTAGATAGATATAGATTAGGTAGATAGATTAGGTAGATAGATTAGGTAGATAGATTAGGTAGATAGATTAGGTAGATAGATTAGGTAGATAGATTAGGTAGATAGATTAGGTAGATAGATTAGGTAGATAGATTAGGTAGATAGATTAGGTAGATAGATTAGGTAGATAGATTAGGTAGATAGATTAGGTAGATAGATTAGGTAGATAGATTAGGTAGATAGATTAGGTAGATAGATTAGGTAGATAGATTAGGTAGATAGATTAGGTAGATAGATTAGGTAGATAGATTAGGTAGATAGATAGATAGATAGATAGATAGATAGATAGATAGATAGATAGATAGATAGATAGATAGATAGATAGATAGATAGATAGATAGATAGATAGATAGATAGATAGATAGATAGATAGATAGATAGATAGATAGATAGATATACTTAAATAGTGATACTAATAATGCAATATTAGCATTAATATAGATGAAGAGAAGAGAAATGTATTTAAATAGAGGGAAAAGGAATGCTTAAATAAGTGTTGAATGTCAATATGTCAAACTTTTAATAATTAATAATGATTAGAGTAATTTAAAAATTATTCGTGCAAGAGAAAGACTTGGCTGATTTCAAAGTTATGATTAAAAATAATTGAATATTGAAATTTAAAAAACTTCAATATTGTGTTGTGAATTTTTTAGCTGATAAAAAGAAGGGAAAATGAGTGTTAACAATCCAAAATTTTATGATGAATTTAGATCAAAAAATATAAAAAATGAATTGGTGGCTTTTTTTTCATTTGTAGAAAATAGCAATTGATAATATCAGTAATGATTTCTACTAGAATAATTTTGTAAATGTATTCAATTCAAAAATATCACATCTAAATAGTAATTATTAATTGCTTAACGATTACAGTCCGTTATAATAATAATAATAATTATGTTTGAACGATGGTTATTAAAAAAAAAAAGAAAAGAAATTGTATGCGATGATTACATTCATTAAATAATTACAAATTAAAAAAAAAGAATATTTTTTACATTATAAATTAGATTATAATCATTAAGATGAGATACTATTTGTTCCTTTTATTTTAATAAAAAGTAATTACATTAAATATGGAAAAATCATGTGTAGACTAATTCATGAATAAAAAGTATTATCCATCAAGAAGATTTATCCTATAAAAATGAAAAGGCCAATATTTTGGGATTACTTACCTATCATAATACTTTTTTGGAATCTATAAAGAAGCATGGAACAACTGTGATCGAAGACTAATAAAATGAAATCAAATTAAAACGAATGAATATATTTCGGAAGATTGATCTGGACAGTTGTCCATTTGATAAAATTTTTTCTTTCCTTTTTTTTAGACAGAATTTATTTCATCGGAAAATTCTTATCTCAATAAATGGCATCAATTTTTTGCAAAGAAAAAAGACAAAAAGTCGAAGACTAATAAAAAATGAAAATTGCTTCTGCGCTAATAAAATTATTGATTCGTAACTCAAATTCATCTCAAGATTTCATTTTATATAAAATTTTAAACATATTAACTTATCTGCTTGCAATTTCAATCTCAATTATCCAACAATTACTCAACAAATGTATGTCTTACAACATACCAATAAGAAATTAGCACATTTTATTGCAGTTGGAAAAACTTGACAGTATGCTAACGTTCGATATCTTAAGATATTTGTAATAATAATTCGTTAAATTTAAATGAATGAATGAAATTTATTTCTTCATATTACACTTGATATATTCTCAGAAAAATTTTCATATTTATTAATTTAGAAGCGTAACAGATCAATAAATTCATAAAATAAACAATATTTGATTTCATTGTCAATACGTTTCACAGAAAACAAAATCGATCAATTGAAATAAGGATAAATGAATTTATTTATACAACCTAACGGTTCCACTTTTTTTAATATCTTGTTTAAAAAAAAAAACTAAATAAATAACCCTGAAAAATTTTTCCAAATCATATATATATATGTTAATAATTGTATTTTATGCACTAAATGAGGAATGAATTCGAAAAACAAAAGAGAGATAAAAGACAAACGAGACAAAAGAGAAATGTTTAGTAAAAAACATGAATAAATATTGAAGTAATCAATTTGAAATATTCGAATACAAATATTGAAATATTTTTAAATCAAAATAAAAAATATTCGACAACAAATTCTTTTAAATAAGCAAAATTTCTTGTAATAATAGCACTAGTGTGTTAAATTTGAATCATAAAAACCAAAATAGCATCATATTTGATAGAAAAAAATAACAATGTAAATGATAAAAGCAAATTCCTTCTCATCTTAAATCCTTCTATTATAATTGCCATATATGATTCTTTCGTCTTCCTCAATTCCATGTTTCATATTGTAGTCGACCTTTTGCTTCAAGCATTTGTATGAATTGTTTACCATTTTCACCGTTTTCATCAGCAATCTTTTCTATGCATGCAGTTACTTCAACTGGCATATCACCAGCTTTCCCTGCTATAAAAAGATAACCTAAAAAATTGTTAAAATTAGTTCACATTAAATAATTATTAATATATAATTGATGCAAAAAATATTTTCTAAAATCTTTTTCTCCTATAATTTTTAAAAATTCTAATCGCTTTTTAAAACAAAAAAGTATCATGAAATGGATAATTTAATCATCATTTTCTTCAACAAAATATTTGCATTATATAAATCTAATTATTTATTCAAATATAGAGTTATTTATATAAATATAACTTTTTGTATAAACATATAAATATATTAATATAATTTACATAAATTTTTACTTTAATATAATTATTTACATAAATATAATTAGAAACATTACATAAATATGATTTTCATATATTACAAGTTACCGTTATTATTTTTTAACAGATTCCATATTTCGTTACCGTACTCTTCAATCCTATTTTGTACGTAAATCTGAAAAATCATTTTTTTCCACAAATAATTTTTCCCAAGAAACAATTTTCCACAAAGTCAATGCTATTCAAATATTTTGTAGTGTTGATTCTATAGCACACGACATTACGATGCTATTAATAATTAGAATTCTAAAAGTCACTAAAGTTATCAATAAAATTGATTGCATCGAATGCTTCTTTATTCCTTAGTAAATAACCAAAATATAATAGCAGAAAATACTAAGAAATAATTTCTAATAAAACTTTAAATGGAGAAAACTACAACTATCTACAAAAAGTACATTAACATATATCGCAAAAAAATGAACTTTAAACTTTAAACTGAATTACTTGACAAAACATCAAATTGAAATCCCCGAAGCATTATAGGACAAAATAAATATTAAATTTTGCACCTTATTTTGCTGATCTCGACTAAATGCTGTTATGATCCGAGCTTCTGTCAATATTTGCCATTCTTCAGCGAAATAAAAATCTTTCTGAGCTCCTCGACATCCAAAAAATAATATTGAATTTTCTTTCTCATCACGCAATTGTCTGAAAACAATCTCAACAAATTCAAATGAAATTTCAAAAAAATAAAAATAAAAAAAAAATAATAAAAGACAGTCACAATTAATTCTCCTTTTATGGTACATGTGGAGCTGCTTAGCAAATATTAACAGATATTAACTTGACTTACTAACACTGTATTAAGAAATTAAATTATTAGACATGAATTTGACACTCTGATATTTAAATTCACATTGTTTAATAAGAATTTTATTATTAAAAAATAATGCATTGGGCAAGTATCTTTGAAGATTGTTCATTATTTAAGATCCATCGGATGAAACAGCCGGATGAACCTGAATTTTGATTTTCCAGAGCAACTAAACGATCCATTAAGAAGAAATAAGCATGAAAAATAAAGATAAACTTTGTATATACTTTTTACGATAAGCTAAAATTGATCGGAACGGTGCTACTCCAGTACCAGGTCCAACCAATATTAAACTGTCATTTTTGGTAGGCCATCTGTAAAGGAATGAATAAAAATCATCAAATTTTCAAAATCATTTTAATGCAATTAAGAATTCTAGACAATACAATATTTGCTGGTTTTGAGAGACTTTCAAAATTCAAAATCCCTGTTTTGTTTCTTATTAAAACGCATCTATTAGTTATGAACTGTTTAACCTGGCTGTTAAATTAGTCCTTTAATTGCCCGGAAACTAGTCTAAGAATACCTAAAAGTTCCTGGACGAATTTTCACCAGGACAGTATCACCCTCTTGTAATCGACTTAAATAATTACTACATAAACCTAATCGTGTAGCCGTTATTCGTTTCGATATATATTCCACCTGAAAATTAATTTTTTATCAAATCTTTGTGATACTTCATTCTAATACCATTAGTTCTTTGATCAAACATAATTTAACTTAGCATACACAATTTCTGAGAAAAAAAAACACATTCATAACATAAGCTTATATTTAAATTTTGTTTAGAGTTGAGGAATCAACTAAGTTTGTAGAATCAAACCAAAAGTGCATAATCAGTGATAAATCTAACTTTGGCAACAAGCAACTGGATAGCTGCATGTGTTAATGGACATGAAGCAATACTGAATGCTCGTGGACGAATTAGAGGAAAAACTTCGAAAAGCATTTCCACAGGTATATCTCGAGCTGTCGCATGAAAGTCTCGCAATGTTTCTGCAATTGTTCGCCTAGGTCGCCAACAATAATCCATGTAATCATCCTGCATAACAAAAAATACATTCACTGGATACATCCAACATAAAATGTTAAATAAAATTTATAATTTACAATATCTTTCGCTAATTCAAGAAGTCGTTCTTTCTCATCGTTTATTGTCGACAACTTTCCAAGTGTCCGAAAAAATGATCTGCGTGGAACCATTTGCAAATCAAAATAACATTCAAAACATTGCCGTAAAGATAGTTTGTCTAAAAATTGAGATATTTTTTCTTTTAAAATTAGAAAAACTATAACTGGTAAAATTATTAAAATTATCTAATTAAGAAAGAAAATAAGTATGGTAATATTGGTAACATTTGCTCTTACGAAGAAAAATTTTATTTCAATTACCGTTAATAAATATTTATTAGAAGTTATAAAAAAAAAAAAAAAGGTAAAAATTTTTACCTTTATAAAGATAAGAAGGAGGCAGTGAAATACATGTTTCACGTGAGCGTAATGTAATAGGACGATTCAGCAAATCATCATCAATATTGAGTGCTTCGTAAGCTATACTAAGTGTTTCGTTCAAGTTGTTCGGATGTACCATTATCACATCACCAGGAGAATAACTGCAAGGGGAGAGCAATAATTGTGTCTATATCTTAAATAATCTTAAAATTGTTCAAGAAAAAGTTCTAAAACTTCTGAAATTATTGCAAATTGAAAAATATATTGATAATATAGTTCATACCGAAGTTCTTCGACATTCATGGCTATTGTGATCAGTCGTGTATCCAGAAAATACAAGAAAATTTAGTTCAGTGAATTAAATAAATGATAGGATCAAGAAAAAATTTTTTTAAAATTAAGACTGATCGGAGGACATAAACGCACTATTAATAATTGCTTTGAATTTAATAATTGAGATAAATAAATGAGGGCTTTTACAGGTTTAAAATATATTCAATAATACTTGGCAAATTTAGATGCATGTTCAAAATAAGAATACCTGAAAATGAGTTTCCGCTGTTAATCGTTTATTATTTACGACTGTTGTTTCTACGAAAGAATTTTCTTTGCTATCACTGTAAAGTGGTGAAGAATTTTCATCGTAACTGACTTCATAACGTGATGGTAAACATTTGCTATCATCAGGATTCAAAATCATACCCTAAATGTATAAATTAATTCATATATTCCAAATTATAAAGTAATTTCTGTTTGTGATAAAAATCATTAAATTTATTAGTTTTTAAATTTCTGAAAAAATGAAATAATTCATTAACATAAAATGTCATGTTCATACCGGATACAACCTCATTTCCCAGATTTGTTGAAATAATTCATTCCGAAAAGGCTCGTATGTTCCTTCAATTCCTAATTCATGTTGATCGTCTGCTAAAGCTAAGTTCATCAAAAATGAACAGCCTAATTGGCTTAATCTAAAAAATTTTAGTTTAGATAATATAGTATACTTGTAAAAATAATGTGTAATAAAGATATGCTTCAAATATTTCACATAAATAAATAGGAAAGTAAATGAGCAAATATATGTAATATCATTATACATTTAATAAATATTTTTACCTTCGATATAGCTTCTTTCCGGCAAAGTTATATTTTTGATAAGTTGAGTCACCAAGTCCAAGGACAGCTAAGTGAACCTGAAATCCTCATATGCATATCAATAAGCTACGATCTAAAATAGATGTTTCTTCTAATAAACAAAAGATTAATATAAAATTATGATCTTATTACTATTATTATAAGAAAGATTTCTTTTCATTATTAAAACATTGAAAATACACTGAAAATATCATTTAATTAAATTAATCTAATCAAATATTTTAAATAATGCAAAACTTTTGCCAAATACAAAGTGGTGTAAGAAAAAAACATAGCCATAACACATATAAAGGAGTATTGACCAATAATTAAAAAAGAAGATAGTAGAGCTAAAAATAGTAGAAATAAATAAAAATTCATAAAAAATAATAGAAATAAAGTGAGAAAAAAAAGACAATTTCTATATGATAAAATCTAAAATGAAAAGTTACATTTTGTAACAAATTTTTTGGTAACGTTTTACAACATAAAATTCTCCAATTGTAACGTAAACTAGCTGGCATTTCACCTTGTCCACTGGTTGAGACTACAAATATCACACAATATTCATTGTTCAAATTCTAAAAACAGCTAATTAAAAATTTAAAAAAAAAAAGAGAGAAAAACATTTTGCTTTCATATATGAAATATAAAGAAGAACGTGGAAATATCTTTAATATTGATAGAAAGAGTGAAATTAAAAATGTTGACTTTAACTTCTAAAACTAAAAAGTATTACTGCCTAATGTATACTTAACATCGGAAGAATGATCCTATTGAATAATTAATTAATTTTCGATATGGAATTTTTGAATTATTTGAAAAGAAGCAAAATTTCTCTCAATGAGGTTTCTAAAAAATACTATAACTCTTGACAAAATAAATTAACTAATTTGTTGGAAAGAGCTACATAAGGGAAAAAAAATTTTTTTTTTTCTTTTTGCAAAGAATTCCTACGGAAATAAACAAACTTTCAAACCTGCACTGCATAATCTCCAAAATTATACACTTCAGCGGGGATATTACGATATCGTGCATCATTCCATAACATTTCCGCAACATCTTGCGCATTACCTGTTTCACTACCATAAAGAATTTTCAACGCAGGAAGAGATGAGGAAAACTTTTCCATTAATCCTGGAAAAAAAAAAGATTTAAATACTGAAATTATCAAATTTTGTGAGAAGTCAAATTTAACAAACCTTGTCAATGGACAATTTAAAAAATAAAAAAAAAAATGAACTACTTTTTCGTCACTTTTTTTGATCAACAAAATAATGGAAATATCTATCACTTATATTTCACATTCTAACATATCCTTTTCCTTAGATTTATTCCTATTGGTTATATAATTTCTATTAGGATGCTGATAATTTCTATTAGAACATTTCCTACTAAGATTAAGAATGTAATGGAATTAAATAATCAACTTTTACTCTTCAATTACAACTTTTAGAATTGAACAATTTCCGGGAAAAGTAAAAGGTTATAAACATGTGACTTCTCTTCGTAGTGCTTCCCTTCGTTTCCTTTATTTATTATAAAGACGACATCACGTTTTCCGATATTTGTGAGAATTAAACACTCAGTTTAATGTATTTTATTTGGCAACATAAGTCCATTATTTTATTTTATTTGTTTAACAGTTAAATTTCTTATATTCATTTGTTAATTGATCAATCTTAGTTGTTGTCAAACAATCATACATTATATTTAATTCACAAACTGTTCAACTTACAATAATCAAGTAATCATAATTATTCTACAGCAAATAACAAATGGATATATTTCAAATGCAAGTGTATTTTATTACAAATCTTAAATTGATGACAAATTTATATCATTTATAACAATTTTAATATCATCTGTTACTTCTTATATCATTTATATTGATTTATACAGTTTATTGATGGAGGCATTTATTTCGCTTCTTCAACAAATTCAATATTTATTGTACTTTATTAATACGAGTTAATGAGAATGAGAATGACTACTGATTAAAAATATCGGACTAACTGCGCCAACAGCAACTGATATTAACTCGACAAGCTTTAACGATGCTCTTGATTCACTATATCCTCGACTATTACCTTCTGTGGCATTGTTCACTAATTGATAATCCTTAACGTTGGAACCAAGCTGGAACAAATTTTCTTCGACTTATCTGTTTACATTTTATGGCAGCATACATTCAACTTGTGCTATATGAAGAAAATGTAATAAAAATCATAGAGTTTTTGCTGATTAAAGCAGAAAGAACCTGTCTTGATGTCGAAAAAAGAATTTTAATCAAAGATGCAAACTCAAGAAAACGAATATAATAGGAAAAATATTAACAATTTTTATCATTATTGAAATTTCATTTAACAAAAGAATTTAGAATTGTTTTAGAACTTACCAACTCTGGAAGTATATGTACAGTTGCAACGTATAGAAACGTTCCAGCCGAAAATAACATAAGTGTTCCAGTAGCCGAATCTGCTGAAGATTTGTTGTTTTCAACCTGAAATTTAAAAATACAAATGATAACGTATCGATTATTACATGTTAACTTCAAAGAAAAGTTTCAAAAACTCACAACAACAATCAGATAATATGTGACCATTGCAGCCACTGGAGCTGCGGCTGAGAAGATAATTAAATGGCGGCGTATCCTGAATCTTTCGATACCTTCCACCAGAAGAAAACTGACCAGACCGAAAGCCGCTGGAGCCTTTAATGCATTAAAATATTTGAAATATGAGAAATGAAGTATTTTATTGCATAAAAAATATACAAAAGGAAATATGGAAAAGCTAATGAATGTTTTGATAAATATTCGAGGCTCAAAATCATTACGCTGAAGCAGTAGAGAGGGACAAAAGCACACGGAGTTAAATAAATGCAGATGCGGATCTTGAATTTAGACGACTTACTGGGAAGCGGAAGTCAGAAGCTTCATGAATAATAAACTATCAGGAAACAAGCTGAAAGTAACAATTCGTCTGGATGAAGGAATGGAGATTAAGTGAATTAAGATGGAAGAAAGTCGACCACAAAACGACAAACTCATTAGATGCAATATTAGAAAGGAAAAAACCAATGTTCAACATATGGAAGCGCTTTGATAAAAGCGGCAGAAGTGCAGTGATGATCAAACTAGCCATTAAATTACGGATTAAAGCTTAACTTCATTAAATAATTTTGTTAATAGAGAGAATGATAAAAATCAACCTTATGAAGCATTATAGCAAGAAAAACAATAAACTGTACACCGGCGCGATTTGTTGCAGATGCGCTGCCAAAAGCGACCCCATCAGCTGCAAATATTACTAATAAAAATAAAATTTTAATTTTAAAAAGCCATTCAAAAAATTTTTATTATAATTTCAACAAGTACAACTTTCAGAAATTCTAATTTACCACATGCAATTAAATCTTCAGCCGAAACAACATTTCCAAGTTCGATTTTAGATTAACTATATGAACTAATTACAATCAAATTTACAAAATAAATCAGAACTAAAGCAATCTGTGATAAAAACTTTTGCAATAACAAACCAGCTGCATGTACGACCAAACCAATTGTTGCCGTTAATTTAAAATGTGTACGGTCACCATCTGAAATTCAGTTTGAAACATGCATAATAATTATCAAAAAAGGTGATAAATATTCCGAGATTTGATCGATAGGAAAATTAAGAAACCAAAAACCAGCCAATGATAAATATTTCGATAATACTTTTCATTGACAAATACCTTTCGATGATAAATATTTCGAGATTTGGTCGATAAGAAACATAAATAAGAAACCAAAAACTAGTGAATATCCTATTGATTGATTTATTGCATTGAAATTAACCGATGCTTCGGAATGCCTATGCTCATCGCTTTCTGTAAAAAATTAATCTTCTTTTCTTTAATTAGTAAAACCTTCCTTAACAGATCATCTAAAATACACTATAGTTAAATTAGCATCAATTCTACCAAAATTTGTTAATCAATCAATGTCGCATGCGTCATGGCATAACTGAATGTATCGGAAATAGACTCTGTTAATTTATATAAATTGTCGGATGGAATGAGAGAACACAAAAATGAGATTAAATTGAGTTGATTTCCTTTATTTATCCTTCATCAGCTATCGGCAAATCAATACCACTTCATAAAACACCTGGATTTTAACTTCTTGTATAAAAAAATACCTTTCTTGCTCATAACAGAATTTTGCTGCATTTGTCCTACCATTTCTTTTCCAACAGCACTGTTGCCAAAATTAGTTGGATAAATTATTTTCCCACTGAATTAGAATATAAAATTATTAATTTAAGTAATTATACTAATTTTGAATTAATAAATTACTAATAACAGTATTTTATTAATAAAAATAAAATATTTCTTTTTGAAATTCTGGTTAATTCACCAAATTACTAGTAATAAGGTTTTAAAAATGATCCAAAAGATAGATGAAAATGACTCGAATTTTGTTCTTAAATTTTTTCGGTCATATCGACCGATTTCATCTGCTAATCCATATAAGCAATTTTTTGGGTATTAGTACATATATATATATATATATATATATATATATATATATTTATTTATTTATTTAAATCATGAAAATATAAACATACATAAACATACCCTAGATTTGATGCAACGGGTTGTGTTAATGAATTCGATATAATTTGGTTCCTATCGTCACTCTGCACTGCTCCCGGCAAATACTTTTCTGAAATCAAGAGAGTTTTTTTATCATTTCATTTAAGTGATATAAATATGTTTGAGTTTGTTCTTTTATAGTATCCTTTTGACGATACTTTTGTTCAACTAGACCTTATCATTATCACTGAATCAAGAAAAAATCTTTCATTATCTCCACTCTAAAAAAGTATGTTATTTTGGTGATGTACGAAAAATTTAGTCACGTCAAAGATTAACAAATATTATTGTAATTATGAAATAGATTAAAGTAGTAGCATTTTCAGAAAAGATTTTTTCAGCATCTCGCCTCAGAATATCTACCGATATCATCAATGAGATAAATATTTTTTTTCTATTATTTTATACCTTTTAAACGTGATATGACTGCATGCAAATGTGGAAGGCTTATAATGCTTAATATCTAAATCGTTTCCCTATCTACGGAGTATAAGTTACTTGTAGAGAGTACAAGATTTATTGATTTTAACAATAAAAATAAAATTAAACATCAAGAAAACATCCCACATATTTCATCATTATCCAACGTATCATAACGAGTTTTCCAAGATAACTTTTCGAAAAAATTATAATTTCATTAAACTAAAATATGAAATGTTTTATGTTAAAATTTTCGACATTTTTCAAAACAAACAAATCTCAAAATTGCTATCTAAGAAAAAAATAATCTTGAAAAGAGAGGGATAGAGAAAGAAAAAGAAAAAAGAGAAGTAAAGTACCAGTATGAACAATGTAGAGTGCTTCAACACCTTCTGGAACAATTACAGATAAAGCTGTGCCAACCAATAATCCTGCTCCAAATGTGCTCAATAAACGTGTTCGTCTCTGAAAAAACTTGCTTCAGTAAAAAATTTTTGCTAGCTAAATTGTAATTTGTTTTTTCTTCAATATTTCATGATAAACTGTCACAGCGATTGCAATCAATACCTAGAAAACTGATTAAAAATTGGCAAATCTTTTTCATGTATACTTAATCTACGTAAAGGGAATGTTATGATTAAATTTAATCATAAACAATTTAAAAAAAAATTAAAAAAGAAATTACTCTTAGAGTTAATGTACCTCGGACATGTTGAATGCAAGAGGTATTAATCCAGCTACAAAACTTCCAATAAACATTGCAACCGACAAATATAATAACAAGTAAAAATTATCCATAATTCGCTTATGAAAAAATTGCTTTGAAATTTAGATGACCACTGTTTGTGCTGAAACATCTTTCTAATCAAACAAAAATAGAATAATTTAAAAATAGAATGGTATTTATTGCCTAAACAAAGTCATGAATTTCGGATGAAATCTTAATAACATCGAATTTTTCCGAATAATTACACGGATTGTTTCGAGCGTTTTTGAAAATGTTTGGCTGACATAATCTAATGTCAAAATTATACAAAATTTAAGTCCGTAGAATATACTTTCAACGATTGAATTCCATTTGGATAAAAAAATAAATTTGCTAATTTCTTGCTGATGGAAATATTGCTATGCTAGCTTTATTGTTAATAAGATACAACTAAAAAAGTATTTGTTTTAACTTGCTTGCTTTTAAAAAATTAACTCATAAGAAAATGAATATCTTCTATGAATATATACATAAACATATTGACATTGTAATTATCTTTGAAAAAAAAAAACAAATGTTTTCACAATTTGTTTCAAAATTTTTGCAAATAATTTCTCTGTTGTTTTTAAAGCTTACAAAAAACGAAATGCAACCTCTATTGCATTGCTTTCTTACACTTCTTTGCGTATGCAATGTTATTTTTATCATTACATCAATTTTTGCTAAATTTTTTTAATTATTAAAAGCCAAAATGTAAAAGTTGTATTTAAACATAGAAAAATGATATTGCTGCAAAATTTTTACCAAATTTCATTGTTCAGATGAGCAAAGAACCATTTGTTTTACGATAAAGTGTTTTGTGTTTTAAAGCGTTTTGAGATAAAAAAAAGATTTCATTGTTAGTGCCAACATCATTTAATTATTGTTTAAAAATTTTCTGAGAAATAGAATTTCGTAAATAAAAAGTGTTTAATTTATAATTCCAAACTATAACCAAAAGCAATTCACTGGTCATTGATTCGACATGTTCGTAAAAAGAAAAAAATCGTATTTTTTTTCTATATTTCTAACGGTTGATTGAAGATTAAACAATGGAAATGAAATACTGGAAAAAAAAAGGAGAGAATGAACAGTTGAAATCTCAACCACTCCAACTATTTCGATGAACCTGTTATCTGTGATGTCTCTATTCTATCATATCCACTTCGTGATATGGATGTATGCCTAATATAATTTCTTGAAAAACGATCAGGGACATTATAATAAAAAAATTAATTTGATCTAACTAAATTAATCTAACCCTGAATCTAAACCACTAGCTATTGAAACATAATTATCCGTTTCCTTGAACATACAAACATAATTTTCCACTGTTTATTTATGGCTTACCGAAAATATTTCGAACTTTGATTTAGTAATATGGTTAATTCCAGCACTTACATCATTCCACAAGACATCGTATAAATTTTGCCAATATTATAATTCCTGAAAAATCGAAAAAAATTTTTTTTTTTTACTTTCAAAAATTTCAATTAAAACATTAACCACACGAAGCGATACATATGTAATTTGAAAAAGAAACAAACAATTGATAATGTTATCAAATATGAGCATTGAAATTTATTTTTAGCTGCTATTTTTCATCTAAATCAATAAATTATTTTTATCTGTAACAGGAAATCAATATGTAATGGAGTGAAAAATACTGATCCCAACAATTTTTTATATTAATAGTGAAAAAAAAAAAAAGTACAGTAGATAGAATATATGAAAACACTATCAATATTTCAATACAATCATTAAATCATATAGTAATCAATGCATTAATGTATCGTTCTATTTTAAAATTATTTATTTCCACAGTCGATAACCTGCTCCATTTCATTGATGCGCTGATCAAAGAACTTAATGACACAAATCATCTATCATCTATATGTTAATATCTTGATTTCTTTTTATGAATTTACAATAAATACTATACATAAATAATTGTATTGTTTTTGGTACTAATCAAATATTACTATTTCTTCATTTCTTGACATAACAATCAACTAAATTTCTTTTTTTCCTCCTTTTTTTCTTATTTTTGTATGAAAAGAAAAAATACAACATTTCAAGTAAACCTATACTAATTAGATGCATATGTAGTCTAAAATAAAACGGTATAAGTCAAATCCTGAAAATTTTGTGGAAGATTAAACGTATATTTTTTAGTTTCATCTTTAAAAAATAAAAAATTTTGATCTCACTCTAAAAGTGCTTCTAAAATCAAATTTTTCTAAAATCAAAAAAAGAAAATTATTATTTGATCATAATCTAATGTAATGATTACACAACGAAAATAGTGATGCCTGTGGAGTATTATTTGCATTATGATGGGAAACTATATGGTATTAAATTTCAAAATAACATTTGAACAGTTCTGTTCAGCGAAATATTTTGTTGTTCATCCAATGATAAAAATCGTTTTTAATTTCTTGAGGAACAGAATTATTTAGTTCCTGAAAATATAGAATCTAACCTGAAAACAAGAAAGTAGCATGGATGACCCACATAACGGAAAAAATAAAATAAATAAATAGTTGTTATTTGATTAAAACAGATTTATAAATGATAACACCAAGAATAGCGATGATTCTTATCATTGAACTTTATATTGTTATAGAACATGAAATATTTTAAGTTTTTGTTTAAGTGCGGACCAGGAGAACAAATAAAAGATATAGATTTCTCCAACTTCGAAATTATTATAATTTTATAAACTACATTATTATTTGCTGTAGTATAGCACCATTATTATCAAGAAGTAATAATAGTTAGCATCTTTGTTCATCGCATTATTTTTCGAAGTATTAAGCAAATTAAATATAAGAAAAAATTGAAACTTGAACAATACCACTTCTCACTGTCATATCATAGCACGGATCCGGTTCTGCTGTTAGCTATCGTAATAACTTTATTCATCCTTTTCATCGGATTATATAATACTTGAGTAGACTTTATAACAAACTTGCTCCCTTTGCCACCTAATGACAAGGAAAATTCTGGTAACAAACATAATTTTTAATCTATGATAATTTAAATTACTTAGAGAAACATAATGACATTAGTTGAAAACCTGAACATAAAAATAAATATTTATTCAATGGCTGTAACTAATAATATAACTACTTATACTATGTTCTCGATCTATTGCTTCTATTAAACTTGCACAACGATAATACACTTCTCTGGTAGTCAAATTTCGTTCTTTCTTGGTTCAGCAACTTTACATATCATCACATTATCAAATAAACTTTACTTTAGTAATTGCAATGCCGTTATTATGGTTTAAAAATTTGCAACTTCATCTAACAACTTTTAACAGCTTTAAATAATTCGGCTAATTGTATTTCAACAATTCTAATAAATCAGTGCTAAATATGTCCATAATTTAAGCTTAATGGTTGTAAAATGTCTTTAGACAGAATCTTGATTTCTTTTTACAAAGCGTATGTTGTGGAATAAATCATTTAAATAAAAAATAAAAAAAACCATGCTTCACCTAACATATAATATTTGAAAGTATTGCTTAATAGTGTACGATAAGCAACGCTGCATACTGCCTATCACAAATGTGTCAATAAAATGAATCCTGTGAAAAAAATGGAGGTAAATTTGAATTTTTTCCATAAAACCAGTTTAAATATATTTTATTACAATGTGATTCAAAAATTAAAGCTAGGAATTAATTGGATTTTTGTTTTAAGTCGACGGTATAACCCAACTTTGCAAGATTCTTCTAATCTTTCTGAATGATAAAAATTTATAATTTTTCAAGTCAAATCATTTTGTTAAATCCAATGTTAATTCAAATAGCACTGACTGAAGAATATAATGAAATAAGTTAGGGAGTTAAAAATAACGTTAAACTGGATTAAATGCAGAAATCAAACTGGATTAAATGCAGAAATCTTTTCAAGGCTAATCTGCTATGAAATAATGTAATTGTCCCAGTCATCCACATATCAGTGCTTCGTTTATCCTCTTTACTGAAGTAAACAATACTCGAATGGACTTCATATAAATCTCCCCTTGAATATTGATGAATTTAAAAAACTTATTAATGAATTATAAAACAAACTTCACTTTTTTGTCTAAGAAACAATAACGTATTGAAAAATACATTACATCGAATGAAAACTGATCGAAAATGATTTTACTTGCAAGCAAATTGTCATTCAAAAAATCGCTATTTTCACGAACATAGGTATCATTTCTACTTCCGTTGTTATATGATCCAAAATATGAATACATATGATTATTTACAATAAAAAAATTGGAAACGAAAATTTACGAAATCCACTGAATGAGTGATAGTACTCTACTAAGCCATCTATTATTTCAGTAATTTAAAGTTTTGCTCAAGAAAATTAGAGAAGCCATTCTTAGCGGAATAACTCAAAATTAAAAACTCATCAGAAGTTCCATCATAAACCACTCAAAAGCAACTATTTTAAAACTTCACAGTTGCTTCGATCTTTTAAAACAAATCAACAAAAAATATGAAGTTAAATAATGGACTGCTATATAGAAAGTCAATTATTCATTCTATTACAAAGTAGTACACCTAATAAAATAACATACTAAAACGTTCGAACTAAAAGACAAACCTTATTCAACAGCACAGATTCCAGCCTGTGTAACCGCATCATCTTCCTTTAAATCAAAAGCTTTTAAAAATTTTCAACAGATTTTTATCCGCCGTCAAAACTGTCTTACTCCAGCTATTAATTCTGATGTCCAAGACAAAGCTCAATTTAGTGCATCGATATTAAAATGGAATTCATTGTGAGCCGTTTGATTTATCCTTGCCCTTCTGAAACAAAAAAAAAAAGGAAAAAAAATGAAGTCTTGCTTGTTCAGAAATAAATAAAATATATTATCATCATTACACTATTGCATCAACAATTGAAACTCCTGATTTCCTGTAAGAAAAATAACTACAAGCAATAAAAATTCTTACTTTCTAAAGCAGTAAAGACGAACACTTTGTCAAGTTTTATTATGTCAACAAACCATTAAATAAAGCGAAACTACTAAATTAGCAAATATTAAATGAACATGTACTTTTAATTTCCTAAATAAACAAGAAAGCTGATAAACAAATAAGAATTCTAAGAAATTAAACTCTTAAATTTATTATCAAAATTCCTCGGTTAGTAACACTCCAACTCACACATTAAAATAATATTTGATTAACAAAATCAGAAAAACAGTTGTTTCATTATGGAAAAACATAACTAACATAATGAGATGAAATTTTCTCATGTTTCGATTCACTTATTTCTAGATTTAGATAGAAATGTTAAGTTGAACTTGAACTAGTAACATGCACAAAATGTGCAAATAAAAGGGAATATCTAACCTGAATGGTAATGAGATCAACGCTGACGATGCTATTCAAAATGACACCGATGATTTAAGATCTTCTGACGAATATAGAGAAGGATTTACTCGCAAATTTCAGTTTCTAATTGTGGATTTAATATTTTATCCCTACGCTTTGACACTTCTTTCTCCATTTTCTGCACCTTTCATTCCGGATATTTTCATTCTTCCTGATCCTATTTTCTTCTCTTTTTAATTTCACTTAAAATAATTCCAACAAACATTCACCTTAGCTTTTTTTATTCTTACCTAAAAGTCAGAAAATTGATATAAACGGGAGAGTCCTAGCCTTATAAAATCGGAAACTATCGGAAGCTACAGTTAGCGAGTTGGGGTAAAATTAAGACGGTTGTCGAAGTCACAGGCGAATCTTACAAAAGAAACTTTAGAGACTGTTTACCACAGCGATAAGTGATTAGATGGTGAAAGAACTTTAGCTTTAATAGGAAGAACCAATAATAAGAGAAATATTTACGTAAATTTCCTGCTTTTCTCGAATTTCACAGTCAATCCAATTATTTTCATAGAATCGTATATGTCCCAAAATAGACATTTGTCCTTGGGAAATACTAATAGATATTTTTCTTCATCAAAACCTTGCAAATGGATTTTTTTTTCTTCCTAATTTTCCTCAAAAAACCGGCATTTTTCGATTCAGTAATTTTAAAGCAAATAAAGTCATTAATTCTTGGAATGCACAGTGGTGGAATTACAGACGACTGAAAATGTTCCCTGATTCGTGTTGAGGGGCAATCTGAAATATAACGACAAAATTTAACAACCATTTGAAATGAGTCATTAAATACTGCACAAAATCAACAATTACAAAAAGCCAATAAATGATATCAGAAAATAAACAGAGCTGAAGAACTTGGAAAGAAAATGTCTCTGTGGAGAAATGCTGAAAAAGATGAGGCCAAAATGATAGGCGTGTTTTACAATCTAGTAAGTCTATCATTTCATCATTTCCTTTCTTTCTTTATTTCTCATGTTAAATATTAAAAATATTGTTTATCAGTATATCTCCATTAATTGTATATTATTTTCAAATTAGAAATTTTGGAAATACACAGACCAGTAAATTATCTTCATTAAAAGATATAAAAATTTTTTAAAAAGTACATATAATGGCAGGAAAACTGTAAAAGGAATACATATGTTTTACAGAACGAAACAAAAAGCAATGTTTCATTTTCCTTATACAAGAAAAAAATTTTTACGATGTTTCGGTTTTATTTTTCTAATCCATCCGAAAGAAAAAAAAAAAACAAAGTACAAACGTCAAGTACAAACAAAAAAGTGTGAAAAGAAAGAAAGAAAATCATTCAGCCCATCAAAAATGAAAAAGGTTCTGCTAATGTATAATAATCGCTATTTTGTTACTCGTGGGCATGTGAATTTTGTTTATTTCAGCTCGACAGGCATTGTCGAGCAGTAGTTGCATTCAATACGATAAATTTAAATTAATTGCAATTAAACGAGTTTCTTTGTTAAATTAAAAAAAAAAAATTGTCTAAAATTTTATTGCACTGGTTTCTTACAGATATCGTACCATCGTACCATCATCGTTACAATTTTGATTTATCTACTATTGCTTTCTTCGCTAGTTAACTAATTCAGTAATCATTTTGTTTTTTTTAAAAAAAAAAAATACATTTTGTACTTATGAAATTCAAAAAGTTTTTGGTTAATAATTGAAATTAACAAATAATTATTTCTTTAGTTTCGCGCACATAGGAACTGTTATCATTTGTTTATATAATTCATCTTAAAGTCAATTCATCTTAAAGTCATTATTTTAGGATTATTAAAGTTGGGAGAACCACAACACTCTTTTAATGTTTTATTAATGTGATAAAATGTTAAACTAATAATTTTACCTATGCATTCATTCATGGGTTGACTTCGTCAACAAAGTTTTGTGAAATGATCAACTTACATTTGTTGCAAACGTGTTGATGGCTGCTGAAAAGACCAATGCGGAATAATCAAATCCTGTTGCAAAAGATATATCGGGAAGTCTTCTTGGGCGATACTGACGGTTGTTTTTTTTTTCTTCAAGAGACGTTCGTTCTCAAAGACGATAGCACAAGTATGGATGGTATGTCTCCGATATGAGAGTGAACCGACGTTTACCTCTTCATACCACTTCTCTGGTGCACTTCTATTGGAGCAGTTGGTTGCATGTTCACACCATGTATGTCCACCTGTTGATCGAAACAATCCTTAGATTTCTTTGACGAGAACGTTAGATATTCTACGGTTCAATAGATATTTCGAGCATTTCGATGGTGCACTGAGATAAACTCAATGAGATGATCAATGCTTGAATCAAGGCTGCATGTAAATTATCTTTAGACTATCTTTTTATTGGAAAATGCTGTATTGATCATGAGCTGTTGTTCTGAGCAGAATTTTTACAGGTGATGTCCATCATCATTGCAATTTCCAAAATCACGTTTTCCTGGTACTCCTTTTTAGACATCAGAGTTTTTAACTCTATCTAAAATTGTATCTCCTACATTTCCAAAAAATTCATGTTATTTTCTTCATTCTTTTTTTTTTTAGATATTTTGTACAATGCTGACGTAAGTATAATGCATATTCTCGATTAGGAGCAGAACTTTGACAGTTATCGAATTTATAAATCTTTTTTTCAACTTTGAAAAATTAATCTAGATTTTTTTTTGACCTTTGAAAAATTCGTTAATCTAGATCTTTGTTGGAACCTTGTCTTATTTTAATGATGAAATCTTCAGAAAAAATCAAGCCTATTTAGTTTATTTTACTTTTTCAATCAGTTTCATGAAACATTTTATTTCTCTTCTCAATTTTATTGCCAATTCCTCAAAATAAAAAGTTTTTTTTTTAACTTTTTCTACTTTCAAAATTAGAAATAGGATCAATGCTTTCTTTTCTTATGATAGGTAAATTTATTTTGAAAATTTTTATTTAATTCTCTTTCAATCCCTGAACCTCTCATTTACAAGTTCATAATCATTAGGAATTTTTTGCTTTAATTTTCTTTTGAAAAAATGAAATATTATGCTTTCGAAAAAAAAAAAAAGTTCCAAATAATTTCTCGTCGTTTTGTGTTATGCGTCTGGAAGTGATTAACTCCACATTATTCATCAGAAGGCAGATTGGAATATGAAGCCTAATGAAATCTATTTTCACTTCGCATAATAAAATCTGCTTTAGCACGTATTTTAATTTCCAGCAAGTCTTCCTCTTCTCTGTAAGATGTTTTATTTCGAGTAATTTTGTGTCTATGCTGATTGACTGCAATATTTTTTAAATTAGAGATGTTCAATATTGTTGTTAAATGTTTATTAATTGAGAAAAAATTGATTAATAAAAGGGTAGTGAAATAAAAGGAAAAAGTATGTTACAGAATTCAATCTTCCTTATTTTTCCAAATTTAATTTCAGATCATGGCGGTGGCTTTGTACCCCATATCTGGCACATTGGTTGGCTGCATTGGATGCATGTATTTTGTAGAATCTATCGCCAAGTATACTTCTTCATATTTAATTTTCACTTGCCACTCTTTTTTGCGAAATTATTGGAACATTTCAGCTTGTTTTTGGTCATTTCACAATGACTATACTTAATCCCTTGATTTTTCTCACTGATAGTATTAAACTTTTCCACAATACAAAATTCATATGTGAAGCAGTGGAAACTTCAGAAGTCAGTGGATTTTCTACCAAAACGAAAATAAGATACATTGCCAGCTTCATCAGAAAGTACTTATTGTTAGTATTGCTGAAATTTTTGTACAGCCGTGCTGCATTTCTAGCAAATACTGATTTTGAATGAGAAAGCTAGAAATACTTTCTCTCATTTTCGACTAAATTGCAAAAATTTCGAAAACTTAGCTATTCAGTCAATTTTTTAGGGAACAACCTAGTTCGATGAATCTGATGACTTTTTCGACATTTCTTTTCATATCGTTGGAAGGATTAATTTTTACGTCGAAATTTTTTGCTGTCCCCAATAAAATTCCCATACGGTAGGCGGAAATCTCTGTTGATTTTCAAAAATTCGAATTTCCTTTTCAGTGACGAATTCTTTTCTTTTTTCATTTTGAAGTTCTATTTTGTTTCCAAATTTGAGCTTGGTTTTAATTATTAGCTTCGAGCGAATTTGGGTCTATTCAAGTAAATGAGACGTTTATTATCCCCAAAAATCGTTCCAAGATTGATTAAAATGAACAATCGGACGACAAACTTTAGCAGCTTCAAATATGAGCTTTCAGTAGTTATAGCAGAAGTTAATCAGTTCATTGATTGTTCATTTAATACCTCTCTCATCGTTTTCAGTGGTTATCTGCCAACAGTAATAACATTCTTTTGTGTTAATATTATCAACAACCAAGCTTTAAATTTTCATGTTCCTGTCCCCTTACATATCATTTTTCGATCAGTAAGTTATATTTTCCATATTACAGTCTTATTATCAATAAATTAAAAAGAAAAAAAAAAAAAAAACAGCTTAAAGTTTGTGAGATGTGTTTTGAAAAGAATAACATCTAATTGTTTAGATTGAGGATGAATTGATCAAGAAATATTATGATCACAATATGAATATATTTTTTTATGAATTGATATAACGATGATTGGTTTTTTATTGGCATCATTTAATATCAAATGAACTGATCTTTCAGGGTTCACTGTTAGCTAGCCTAATTTTCACGAAAATTTTACAAGGAAAGCAGTACTCATTGCGGAAATACTTAGCAGTTCTGTCGATCACGGTTGGCATAATCATATGTACTACCGCTACTGCTCATTTGGAGGTTAGTATTTCGAAAATTTTGGTAAAGAATTGTTGAATTTTCAGAAATGATCAGCAAGTGGAGATTTAAAAAAGTATTGCTGATATTATGAATTTAATATGGAATATCCATCAGTAGCTATTTATGTGTCGATTATTGATTGGATTCTTATAACTGATAAGAAATCTTTAAGAAAATAGATGGAAAAGAAACAGTGGATAGCGTCGAGAAGCACTATCAAGAATGGCTAGTCGGCAAGTTTATTAAGTAAATTTGACATATTACTATCACATATATTTTAATGTTGGAAACACTTTGCAAATTATAAAAGATGTCCCTTATTCGACATTTTTTTCTTAAATCGGTTAAAAATGTTTCAGGCTTGACTATGCTTACTATAGCTTTACTAGCATCCGCATATTTGGGAATTTGTCAAGAAACAATGTATAAGACTTACGGAAAACATACTGAGGAAGCTGTATTTGTAATTGTAAGTTGGTTGTTGAAGAAAATTCTGTGGATTGGATCTTATGTTCATAAATTTAAGATTTTGATTATTTATAAAGAAAAAATATATTGAATCCTTTATGTCTTTCTGTTGCATTAAAAATTAGCCCAAATATTAAGCATAAAAATTAATATAAATCATACCAGAAATCTTTTTTTCTTCCTAGCCGTTACTTATTGACATTTTTGATTCTTATAATGCACAATGAATCTATCTAAGATAATTAAAATGAAGATCTTACAATACAGTATTGAGTTTAATCTACATAGTTTGTTTTATAGCACAGTGCTTCATTACCATTTTTTGCATTTATGGGTGGAGATATTTATAAATCAGCTGTTCAATTTTCACATAGTTATCCGATGAATATTTTTGGCTTTCATGTTCCACACATGTGGGCTTATCTTGCTGCTACATGCGTTTTGCAGTATGTATCTTTGTTTTTTTTTCTTTCTTTTTTTATTTTGATGAAATCTCACACTTACATATACTGTGTTTTTTATCCTAAAGCGGTTGAAAGATCTTTATTTTTGTTTGGTATTTTGTTTGGTCTTTGCCGCAGTAACTGATAAAAGGATAGTCTATGAACTTGAAAAAAAAAAAAAAAAATCCATTGCAATATCATTAAATGATTTGATTGAATTAATTTCCAGATGGATGTGCATTAGTTTTATATATCGTTTAAATGCTACTTTTGAATCGTTAACCGTAACAATGGTTGTTACCATACGGAAGTTTCTTTCTTTACTTATCTCCATTGTTTGGTTTCGGAATCCATTCACGTTAGCACATTGGGTTGGCGCAGCGTTGGTGTTTACTGGTACACTTGCATTTGCCGATATTTGGACTAACCATACTCGTACAGCGGAGGAAAATAAGAGAAAATATTAATTGATAATAGTTCATGCATAAAATTTTTTTAATAAATTTTTTTTGTATCGAATTCGTCTCACAGAATTATCTGTCATAAACTGCGGAATATTTCAACTGACATAAGGTTAATCTTTATTTAATATCTCTCATTAGTTCCATAACTGAAAAGGTTAAATTTGCAAAAGAATATTTTTCATATAAGAAAAAATTTTTATAAAAAGTATTTCTCTTTTTATAAGAAATGAAATTTTTTCTTTTTCTTATTCATTTAAGTGACGATTTGTAATGGAAATTCTTCAAGGATTGTTTTAGTTCAGTGAAATTCAATTTAAAAATGTAGAGCTGATGAGGTAAAACAAAGAAGATATTTCTAACATACGCATGTTATGTTTTAACACTGTCACATAATTTCCTGAGAAGATAAGTCATCAAATTATTTCTTTCCATTATTAGTATTTCATTAGTGAGTTTCGACTGTGTATTTATATCACTCAGTGAATAGTGATGGCATCCTAGTTTCTTGGATAATGCGCTAAATACTTAAAGTACTTAGCCTTTTTCATTTCCATATGGATAATAGATTATTCAAGCTTTGTAGTGAGTAGGTCTACCTTAGTAAGTGGTTTAAATTTTTTGATGTTAAATTTTCCTAATTCATGCGTCAGGAAGGGAGTGAAAAAGGACAGTTCAAGGTTTTCAATAGTGGTAATAAATTTCAATAAAAACAATAAATTCAGTGTTTATTGTTGATCTTTAGCAAACAGATAATCAGAGAGCAGGTTTTTTTTGCAAAAATTCTAAAGAATGTGTGGTCAGTCTACAGTGAAATTTCAAATTTTGAACCAAAAACTGTAAGAAAAACTTGGTAGGATTCGTTTCAAGGATTTTATTTTTGATGTATGGATCAAAAATCAATCATTTGATATTAGCTACATTACATTTAGCAATTAGCGTTTAATTCTCTGACTGAATTGTTTCATTTTAGCTGCTATATTGCATTGTTGGAACTAATTTATGCAAAGCAGTTGTGACATTTTGCATTTTTGCTTCGATTTTTTACATTTTCAAATCTTTGGGAATATTAGCGAAAGGCGAAAACTACATTGCTGCATCTATTATAATTGATGATACTGATTTATAAAAAATGCTAAATGATTTCATCAAATCTTTTGTTTGATCTTCATTTTTAAACTTAATTTCTAAATTGCTTTGTATGTATGTGTGTAAATTAGGCTTATTCAATTTTCATACAGTCATCGTATACAACATATGATGTGATGAACATTTTAAATAATGCACACATCTCTTGTTAACAGCTATAAAATTCTAAACAATGCAGATAGGTTCAGCTACAACTGGAAGATGAGTGTTGATAAATGATTGCTTAAATAATATGCATCTTTGATGTAAACAATTTTATATTTGTGTACAGAATATTCAATTAGAAAGATCTTTAATCTAATGTTTAATGGAATTTTATGATGCAAACTATCCGATTTTTTTCTAACAAATTATGTGCTGATAATTTGTTACATTAAAGTAATTTCCGTTATATATATATATATACTAGAAATCTTTTTTTCTTTTACCTAATGAGTCTATATGATTAAATTGAATTTCACTTGCTAAATTAACCGGATTTCTAATACCAGTCATCACATAGAATCATCTAACAAGGAATATATTTTTGAATGTTTGAATAGCATAAAATTGTAATTTTTGCATTGTTACAGCGTGAAAGCTTTTTCAATTCGCCAAAAATTACTGACCAACTGGATTTATTATCAATATAACCAGTTAAAAAAAAATTTTTTTTTTTTTTGTTTTGTTTCATTTCTCTTAAATTTTTCGACAAAGCAAATTTTAAAGCTTAAAAATGAAGTCCAAACGAAAGATTTGATGAAATCATATGTAAATTAGCTCTATTAATTACAAGAGATACAGCAGTGTAGTTTTCCTTTGTGAATAATGTTGTAAAGATTTTATAATGTGGAAAAATTGAAGTGAAATGAAATAAAATTGTGCAATGAACCTTTGCTTTGCATAAATCATTTCAAACTATGCGGTATAGAAACTAAAATGAAATTATTCAGTGTAAAAAATTGAACAATGATTCTATTATCATTAGACATACTATTACATATTTTACTCTTATAGCCATATTATTAAACGTGGAATTAACGTAGTTTGCCACTCCCATGTGATGAGCATTTATACATACGATACTCTAACAATACCTTGTAGAAGTAATCGTGTGGCCTGTGTCAAACTCATTTAGTAAGTTCTACTTCACTTCTTTCGGCGGGGAATGTTCTTCTTTCCACTTTTTCCAAAGTTTTGAGTTATGAGAAAGCTTTTGGAACTCAGTGATTGATTTGTAAATAATCCATAATATTTACAAAAGCATTTACTTGGAAAAATCCGTTGCGAATTTGTTAGTGATCGTTCAGTGAAACTGAATATTTTTTAGAATTGGCAAGAAGTTTTTATTGGCATGCATTTCATTTATTTCTTCTTCGTCTTCCAATTGAGCAGTATTCAAACTACCGTAAGTCCATTTAAAATTTGAAAAAAAAAAAAAAAAAAAAAAACGACATAGTACTTGAAATACTTGAAGGAATAACTTGGAAATTTAAATTTTTGAAGAGTGTAAGATTGATGATTTCATGTCATTTGAGGCAGCGCAAACGGATCAAACAGAACCGTTGGACTTGTCAATATCAAAAGTGAGGGATGAAGGGGATGGATCACGAGGCGTATCAGTGGAAAAAGGAAATGATGAAGAAATTGGATTGCAAGTATTTCAAACAAAACCCTTAGATTTATCAGTTCCAAAACTGAAAGAGGAAGGGAATAAATCACAAGGCTTATCAATGGATGGAGTGAGTGGTGAACGAATTAAACCGCGATGGCTCGTTCCAATGAAAACTTTAGTAGAAGTAATGGAGCAAGAAAGAAAAACGAAAAAAAAGCAACGTTGTAATATATGTCGGAAGGAGGTAAGAAACATGAAAATACATATGATGACTCATACCGGGGAGAAGCCATACAGTTGTCCAATATGCAAAAAGGATTTTGCTCAGTTTGCGCATATGAAAGAACATGTAATGACTCATACTGGTGAGAAACCGCACAGTTGTCCGATATGCAAAAAGAATTTCACTCGGTTCAGGGATATGAAAGGACATATGATGATTCATACCGGTGAGAAACTGAACAGTTGTTCGATATGCGAAAAGAATTTCACTCGGTTTGGAACTCTGAAACAACATATGATGACTCATACTGGGGAGAAGCCATACAGTTGTCCAATATGCAAGAAGAATTTTGCTCAGTTTGCGCATATGAAAGAACATGCAATGACTCATACTGGTGAGAAACCGCACAGTTGTCCGATATGCAAAAAGAATTTCACTCGGTTCAGGGATATGAAAGGACATATGATGATTCATACCGGTGAGAAGCCGTATAGTTGTTCGATATGCAAAAAGAATTTCACTCGGTTCAGGGATATGAAAGGACATATGATGATTCATACCGGTGAGAAGCCGTATAGTTGTTCGATATGCAAAAAGAATTTCACTTATTCCGGTAGTGTGAAAAGACATGTGATAATTCATGCCGGTGAGAAGCCGTATAGTTGTTCGATGGCATCAGATAGTAACTCATGACATGACTAGATCTGTCTACTGCATTGTGTGCGATAAGGATTTTCAGACTAGGTCCAGTTTGAAATTGCAGATGCAGGATCATTAAAGTTGACACACTTCAAACAGAAGAAATGCGCTCTGCATTCTTGCCAATTACTCCTTTTTTTAATTAAAAAGCTGTTATTAGTATATTTGATCTTATATGCATGTCGTTTTTGCACACTTTTTTGTTGTCCCACAGCAATGCATTTCTCAGCGTTATCTTCATCCATTAATTTCATTCGCAAGTAACCTTGGATGGTATGCACGACGAACTTGCAAATAAGCATTGCTGTTGTAAAGTTACTAATGAAATGAAATTGTTCATATGTATTCCTCCTTCGATAAATAACATGGAAGTAAATTTTTGGAATAGAAAAGAATCTTCTTAATTACAACATATCATTTCATAAGATTATATAATTATGAGATTTGCAACAAATACTTAATCAAATTCATATCAATGAATAACTGATTGGCATTCAATAAAATATTACAGATAAAAATCAGCAAGTCATTTGAGGAGGCATATACAAAAGCATATCTGTCTTACTATTTCTAATGACTGAAATATTTTTAAAACCTAATTAACTCTCACTTCGATCATTTATATTAATAGACGTCGCATAAGTTTCAACAGCCAAATCATATATAACTTTTTTCGTCATTGCACATTATTAATTGCGTCTGTCAAAAAACCATAACGTTACATGATATTAATCAGTGGTCACTACTAGAAAAGGTTCATGATTTTTTTGTCGTTAACTTTCTTTTCTTGGCTTGACCAAAAAACTTGACTATTTGTTAGTTCTTTGTTTTTTTGAAGTTATTCTTCTAGAATTGCTAGAGTTTATGTGTTCTTTTCCTTTTAGTAAAAATGTCTATATTATCCAAAATAGTAATTAACATTCTATCATAGTTTCAGTACTGAAATGCTTGCTTAATATTTTCACCTATCATCTTTAGTTGTGGAATGATTCTTTCCATCTCACCCACGGTTAATTTCCATCCTTGTTCAGTTTGTGACATCAAAACTAAGTCAGAACTGTCTCTATGTGATAAATTCGCCAAATTCGTCGTTCCTGGGGAGTTGATTGAAGTGTTACTTGAAACGGCTCTTATTAGCAAATCATGTTGCCCTGAGTGAGACGTCGTAGGATTATATCATAATTTTTCCATTAATATTGTTAGCATTACATCAGCTTTCTTTTCTTGAGTTATTAATTTTGTCATACTTTCATTGTTCACGATTTGAGCATTTTTTTTTTCTTTCTCCGCACGATTACAAGTTTTTGAATGAAATTCATTCAAGTTCTGCTGATCACTTCGTCCCTTCGATGATCCTTCTTCTTTTTCCCATTTATTGGAATATTCCTTCTCTCGATAATTGTTAGTTTATTGGCGTTAAGTCTAATTCTTTCACTTCATTTAGAATTTTTCAAGTTTCTCTTTTGCTGTTATTGTGCTCTTAATTGTTTCACAAGAATCTACGTTCGTTATGAGCTGACATCCAAGAAAATACTTGGAAATTATTCTTGCATAGAGAAAAATTATATATCTTTTCACCGGTATGAGTTATATACTTTCTACTTTCTTTCAACATATATTACAGTGATTCTACCACTCTTTTAACTCATTGAATTAAAATGCGTTGTAATTCTACGTGCTCCTCACGCACTTCTTGCGTCGATAAGCCTTTTTCAGTTTTGATATTGATAAATTCAACGCCTTTGTTTAATCCATTTGCGCTACCTCAAATGATATGAAATTATTAGTTGTTAAATCTCGAAGGTATTGCAGTGTTGTATTTTATTAACTTTAAGTGGACTTAGGGTAGTTTTAATATTGCACAACTGGAAGACAAAACGAAATAAGCATGTTAACTTGAATAGTTTCTTGTCAATTCTGAAAAATGTTCGAATTTACTACATCAAAATTCATTTAGAATTAGCGTCGCCCGTTGTATGACAATTGCGCAAAGGAGAATATTATAAAGGTTCAAATTCTTTGTTATAATGCGAAAGTTCGATAAGAGGTGACATTCTCTGTTAAAATAAATCAAGGAGAATTTACAAGATGAAATTTGTGAAGATATCTATTTCCACTAAGTAGTATTAAAGTTTGTATATACCAGTTGCCGTAAAAAAAAGAAAGCATTGACTTGATTTCTAATTTTAAAAGAAGAAAATTTTATTTCGAAAATTTGGAAATACAGCTGGGAAGAGAAATAAAATGTTTCATGAAACTGATTGAAAAAGTGAAGTAAACTAAATAGGCTTGGTTTTTTCTGAAGATTTCATCATTAAAATGATACAAGATTCCAATAAAAATCTAGAGTTACGAATTTTTCAAAAGTTAGTTGACTTCTAGAAAAAAGATTCATAAATTCGATAATTGCAATTGTGCCAAAGTTTTTCTCCTAATCGGAAATATGCATTATAATTGAATCAACATTGTACAAATTAATTTAAAAAGAATAAAGCATATAGCATGAATTTTTGGGAAGTGTAAATAATTTCAGGCATAATCAAGCAATATGTCCTTACCTTTTTTTAATGCATAAGATTTTTATTAAACTGAGAAGTATATAATTCATATCTCGACAAGATTTTCATGGATTTTAATAAAATTTTAATAAAATAATTCAATGGACACATATAAGAAACTTGTTTGAGGCTCGAATCGACCATACGGTAGAAATTTTTTGATTTAACTAGTTTGTAGTTTTACAGACAAGTACTGTCGTAAACGTTTATTCTTTATTGAAGAATAATGGTAATAGTATATGACAAATGCTAATGAATGACAAATATTGATAACTGAAGAAACTATCCCAAGATTTGATTAGGAATTGAAACAGATGACTAGCAATCCAGGATAATACAGTCGTTAAACTGTCGGGGTCAAAGTTCTCAATAGGGAATGGATAAATAAGTTGTCGCGTTGAAATAAAAAAATTAAAAGAAACATTTTACAATAATTTAACCACAGAATATAAAATTAGTTTCACAATGTAACAATTTACACGTGAATTAATTAATATTTCAAACTCTGGGTTTACCAGTTTTAAGAAATATAAAATTAAAGTTGAAATAATTTACATATGAATCGGATGGACAACAAAAAAAAATTCTCGAGTGCAAGTACTTTGATTATTAAATAGAAAAGTTATTTTACAAGACTATTTCCGTCCTTCCGGCACTTTTAAAACCAAAGATTAGAAAACAGTGTAAGCTTAAATGTTTCATCAAGACAAATTTCATCCAGAATTAAAACAAAAAGTAAAATTACTGGAAGTTCGACAAATTTGAGTATAGCTTTATGTTTCAGCAAAGTAAATTCAATAAAACGCAATCAAATTTTGACAGATACTGATAAAACAATTCAATTTCTTATCTAACTTTTTCGTTTTTATAAATTTACTCGAAAATTCAAAAAATAAAATTGAAATCTAGTCACCCACCTATAGCTTCCTACCTCTTAATCATTGCACTTATTTCAATCCATCCATTGTATCGACACATTGACACCTCTTTTGTCATCCCCAAAGACTATCCTTTGATATCCTTCCATGTCAGATCTACCTGACTGATGCAATACCTGGATACGCCATTCAATTAAACTGGAAATGCATGTAACAATGATTTGTTTGTAGCTGAATTGAAACTAAAATCTTCCTTAAGAATTAGTCCTTAGATTCTCCATTCAACGTTATATCTCACTGTTTGAGATGAATTTATCCAAGACGGAGGGATAATTCCAGTAATCCTTGTACCTCTTTTCTGGGGGCATTTTCTATTTCAGTAGATAGTGGCAATTTCGCCACACAGCATAATCGTAGAATCAGAATCGAAGACAATGATCCTTCATCCTAGAGATGTGACCATCCAACCACAGTGGATAGCATGATATCAGTATTGATGATACCTGCTTGTTGGAGGATAATAACATTGGTTATATGTTCAGTCCAGTGGATGTTTAAAACGGTACGAAGGCAACACTGGTAAAATCGTTCAAAGAGCCACAGTTGTGTGCGGTAGATGAAGCATGATGAAATCCGTAGAACTTCACGGTATTAGTTTTTTCGTTAGATGTACTTTTTCACGAAATTTCCCAAATGTGTATATCCACCATTTTATCCCAAATATCTTAGAATTTCTATTGAAGTTTTTGATGCGTGTAAGACTTTTTCTGTAATAAAGAATTAATGGGTGAGGCTTGCTTGGTAATAATATATATATATATATTTTTTTTTTTTGAGACATAATGATCACTCTAATGCCGTTACAACAACAAAAGTTATGGTTGCTGGGGATTTTTTTAAATACATGTTACTATTGTTTCATATCTTCAAAACGTCGACAATAGCTTTATTGTTCTTTTACCATGTCGTACAATACAGCGCTTATACAGTAATATGTATAGAGATCAACGGCGGAACGGATCAGAAATCAATCATCTAATAAAGTATAACACATGTATTTCTTTGATCTTCTTCACTGTGGTTACATTCCCATTATTATCACATTAACTTTTGACTACTCAATAATTTTTATTTTAATCAATTCTAACCGAATTAACTTTCTAATATAAGTGTTATATACGCGGAATGTAGATAAAGCATTGAATTTGTCTGAAAAGAGTATGAAAAAATTTGTCCAAAAAAATTTTAGGAAAGAAAAAGCCAATCTTAAAAGTTCTGCTTGCATAGAATAAATGAACATTTGAGTAGCATAAAATTATAATTTTTGCATTGCTACAGGTCTTCAAGGTTTTCACTTCGTTGCAAATTACTGATCAACCAAATTTAACATCAACATAATCAGTTAAACTATACAAATATTTTATTTCATTTCTCTTAAATTTTTTGACAAAGCAAATTTGAAAGCTTAAAAATGGAGTCCAAACGAAAGATTTGATGAAATCATTTAGCATATGTAAATTAGCTCTGTTAATTACAAGAGATACATCAATGTAGTTTTCCTTTGTGAATAATGTTGTAAAGATTTTATAATGTGGAAAAATTGAAGTGAAATGAAATAAAATTGTGCAATGAACCTTTGCTTTGCATAAATCATTTCAAACTATGCGGTATAGAAACTAAAATGAAATTATTCAGTGTAAAGAATTGAACAATGATTCTATTATCATTAGACATACTATTACATATTTTACTCTTATAGCTATATTATTAAACGTGGAATTAACGTAGTTTGCCACTCCCATGTGATGAGCATTTATACATACGATACTCTAACAATACCTTGTAAAAGTAATCGTGTGGCCTGTGTCAAACTCATTTAGTAAGTTCTACTTCACTTCTTTCGGCGGGGAATGTTCTTCTTTCCACTTTTTCCAAAGTTTTGAGTTATGAGAAAGCTTTTGGAACTCAGTGATTGATTTGTAAATAATCCATAATATTTACAAAAGCATTTACTTGGAAAAATCCGTTGCGAATTTGTTAGTGATCATTCAGTGAAACTGAATATTTTTTAGAATTGGCAAGAAGTTTTTATTGGCATGCATTTCATTTATTTCTTCTTCGTCTTCCAATTGAGCAGTATTCAAACTACCGTAAGTCCATTTAAAATTTGAAAAAAACGACATAGTAATACTTGGAGGAATAACTTGGAGATTTAAAATTTTGAACAGTGTAAGATTGATGATTTCATGTCATTTGAGGCAGCGCAAACGGATCAAACAGAACCGTTGGACTTGTCAATATCAAAAGTGAGAGATGAAGGGGATGGACCACGAGGCTTATCAGTGGAAAAAGAAAATGATGAAGAAATTGGATTGCAAGTATTTCAAACAAAATCCTTGGATTTATCAGTTCCAAAACTGAAAGAGGAAGGGAATAAATCACAAGGCTTATCAATGGAGGGAGTAAGTTATGAAGGAATTAAACCGCGACGACAGCTCATTCCAATGAAAACTTTAATAGAAGCAATGGAGCAAGAAAGAAAAACGAGAAATAAGCAACGTTGTGATATATGTCGGAAGGAGGTAAGAAACATGAAAATACATATGATGACTCATACCGGGGGGAAGCCATACAGTTGTCCAATATGCAAAAAGGATTTTGCTCAGTTTGCGCATATGAAAGAACATGCAATGACTCATACCGGTGAGAAACCGCACAGTTGTCCGATATGCAAAAAGAATTTCACTCGGTTCAGGGATATGAAAGGACATATGATGATTCATACCGATGAGAAACCGCACAGTTGTTCGATATGCAAAAAGAATTTCACTCGGCTTAAAAATCTGAAACAACATATGATGATTCATACCGGTAAGAAACCGTACAGTTGTCCGATATGCAAAGAGAATTTCACTCGGTTCAGGGATATGAAAAGACATGTGATGGCTCACACTAGTGAGAAGCCATACAGTTGTCCATTAAGCAGAAAGAATTTTACTCATTTTATGCATATGAAGCAACATATAATGACTCATACCGGTGAGAGACCGTATATTTGTTCGATATGCAAAAAGAATTTCACTCGGCTTAGAAATCTGAAACAACATATAATGACTCATACCGGTGAGAAACCGTACAGTTGTCCGATATGCAAAAAGAATTTCATTAGTTCCTTTAATATGAAAAGACATATGATTACTCATACCGATGAGAAGCCGCACAGCTGTCCGATATGCAAAAAAAATTTTACTCTGTCCTATAGTATGAAAAATCATATGTTGATTCATGTCGGTGAGAAGCCGTACTGTTGTTCGGTATGCGGAAAAAGTTTCCTACGAAAACATGATTTGCAGTCTCACACGGCAACTCATGATATGAATAGACCTGTCTATCACTGCAGTGTATGCAATAAAGATTTGAAGAGCAAACGCGGCTTAAAATTACACATGCGGAATCATTAAATCTTACGTTTTACACTTTAGTTTGAACTGAAGAAATACGCATTGCTATTTTTGTTGTTGTTAATTATTTATATTTTCCATCAGTCAATTTTTGTGTCATTGATTTTTTAATAAATCTCTGTCGCTCGTTATCCGTTGCGTGCAAGTTATTCTCCTGGTTACATATATGCAAATATGTTTGTTATCTTCTGCGGTGAATAACTTGTAAATAAATATATCTGTTATTAAACTACTAATAAAATGAAATTGCTCATATGTGTTCTTTCTTCAATTATTGCATAAATAACATTGAATTAAGTTTTTGGGGTAGAAAAGAATTTTCTTAATCACATACCATTTCATACGGTTACATAATTATGCGAATTTCATTAAATTCATATCAATGAGTAATTAATTGAAAATCAATGAAAATATTACAGATAAAAATCAGCCCGAGATTTGAGCAGGCATATACAAAAGCGTAGTTTTCTTACTATTTTTGTTGACTAAAATATTCCTAAAACCATTAACAATAACAAAATTAATACATGTCGCAAAAGTTTTATCAACTAAACAATTTGCTTTTTTTATCACTGGGATGCAATCATTTGCACTTGTCAAGAAATCATAACGTGACGTATATTTCATTTGTTCTAACCTTTCCAATTAAATCGATTTATTTATAATTCATTTTTTTTGCTATTGTGAGTGACAAATTTGTTTAATCATTTGCTCATAATTAATTTATTTATTTGACTCACTTCTTATGTGATGAAAATTAAATTTGCAGAAGCAAAGAAATGCTTATACCTTAAAGAGTTTATAGCGCGAAAGATGGAAAGTAACAAATGGAGTGTTTGACTTTGTGATGCAAAATGTTTGTTTTGAATAAATAAAGTTTGTAAAGGTTGAAGTGACATTTTTTTCAAGTTGAAGAATAAAAAATAAATCAGTCCAAGTATTTCAATGAAAAGGATGAAATATACTTCACTACTTTTTTTTTTCTTTTTCATTTAACAAGCATCCAAAAATTTTAACGATCAGTTGATATTGCTAAAGAAATATAAATAAAAATGAATGACGTATGACTGATCTGATCTATATTGTAGTTTAATGATTAAGACGGTGCAGAATGGTATACCAACTACTCCAGCATGCTGCAAAAAAGTTTAATGAATAACAATTAAGTTCTGTCATTCTTATTTAATTAGCGACAATAAATTTAGCAAATTTCGATAAAAAATTTATAATTTCATTTTGCATGTATTCTGCAGCATTGTATCGTATTTTCGAACAGCAATAATTAGAAATGGTATGCCTGTGCTAGCAAGCAGCTCGTTCTTGAACTACTGTTGTTTCATCACTTTCTCCTTTTTCGATTTTAAAAGAAATTATTCTCATTTACATATATTTCATCTATTTCTTCTAATTGAGCAATTTTCAAAATAACTGCAAGTCCACTTAAAGTTTAAAAATTACAACATGCTGCAATACCTTGGAGATTTAAAATTTTGTACAAACTGATGATTTTATATCATTTGAAGCAGCTCAAACGGACCAAACAGAACTGTTGATTTTATCAATATCAAAAGTGAAAGAGGAAGGGAATGAATCGCAAGGCTTATCAGTGAAGGGAATTAGTGATGAACGAATTAAACCGATGTTAGGGATCGTTCCAATCGAAACACTGATGGAAGTAATGGGACTATCAAAGCAAAATGAAGTAGTGGAAAGAAATGGTTTTGTGATATACGTGGTTTTGTGGTTTTGTCAAAAGGAAGTAGTAATGTGATACCGGTGCGAAGCTATACTGTTGTCTGATATGCAAGAAAAATTTCTCAAGAAAACTCTTTTTGCAAATGCAAATGTCAACTCATAATAAAATTACATACAATTGTCCTATATTTTGCCTCATTTTAGTGATGAAATCTTCAGAAAAAGCGAAGCCTATTTAATTTACTTCTCTTTCTCAATCAGTTTCATGAAACATTTTATTTTTCTTCTCAGCTGTATTTTTAAATTCTCGAGTAAATCTGTTATAGATTTTCAGCTGCAAAATTGCAAATAAAGTCAGTGCTTTCTTTTTTTGCGATAAACATATTTTAAAAACTTTTATTTAATTTATTTAATCGTTTCAGTTTCTGAACCTTTAGAAACTTCATCATTGAGCATAGCATGCAACATGTTTGATATTTATGCACAACAAAGAAATTTGTTCATTAAAATAAGACAATAAAAAAGTGGAAAATACTACACTAATATGCATATAAGACTAAAAATAAGTTGCTCACAAGCAACCAATCACAATATTAACAATAATAAAACTGTTGCCAACAAAATAAGGAAGGAATAACTAACAATAATTTGACTAATAGAAAATACAAATATCAACAACCATTTCATTTTAGAAGGTGTAAGCTTTAATAATTTCGCATGTGTGATATCGAAGTAGATTTAGAGAAAAAAGCTTTACTGCATACAGTACATTGGTAGATAGATCTATTCATGTTATGAGTTACCAGGTACACTTTCACGTTTTCTTGACCAACTTTTCCCGAATACCGCTGGATAACTACCCGGTTTTCCACCGCTACGAGTCATTATATGCTTTTTCATGTTTACTGCTTTCTTTTGACATATTATGGCAGGGCTCTTTCCCCATGCATTTCTTTTGCTTTGGTAATTTCATTAAACCGTTCATCTCCGGCTTCGCAGCAATATGAGTCATTATATTATTCTTCATATTTGAGAGGTGAGCGAAATTTCTTCTGCACATTGGGCAAATTTTCGAATTCTCGAGCGTATAACTCGTTACATGTCCATTCATATGCAAGAAATAAGAGAAACTTCTCTTGCATACCGGACAAATGCAGGGATTTTTACCGGTATGAGTCATCATATGTTTTTTCATGTCCCAGAAGTGAACGAAATTTCTTTTGCATATCGGACAACTGTATGTCTTCCCACCAATATGAGTCATCATATGTTTTTTCATGTCCCAGAAGCGAACGAAATTTTTTTGCATATCGGACAACTGTATGCCTTTTCACCGATATGAGCCATTGTATGTTTTTTCATATTCCAGAAGTGAGCGAAATTTCTTTTGCATACCGGACAACTGTACGTCTTTTCAGTGATATGAGTCATTATATGTTTTTTCATATCCCAGAAGCGAAAGAGATTTTTTTTGCATACTGGACAACTATACGGCTGTTTGCCAATATGAGTCATCACATGTTTTTTCATGTCCCAGAAGCGAACGAAATTTTTTTTGCATACCGGACAACTATACGTCTTTTCACCGATATGAGTCATCATATGTTTTTTCATATCCCAGAAGCGAACGAAATTTGTTTTGCATACCGGACAACTGTATGTCTTTTCACCAATGTGAGTCATCATATGTTTTTCCATATCCCAGAAGCGAGCGAAATTTGCTTTGCATACCGGACAACTGTATGTCTTTTCACCGCTATGAGTCATCGTATGTTTTTTCATATTTGCTACGTTCTTTTGACATATATCACAGCATTGTTTCTTTCCCGTGCTTTCTTTTTGCTTCGATAGTTCCATCACATCCATCAAAGTTTCGATTGGAACGGGCTGTCGCTGCGGTTTAATTCCTTCATAACTTACTCCCTCCATTGATAAGCTTTGTGATTTATTCCCTTCCTCTTTCAGTTTTGGAATTGATAAATCCAAGGGTTTTGTTTGAAACACTTGCAATCCAATTTCTTCATCACTCTCTTTTTGCATTGATAAGCCCTGTGATCCATCTCCTTCCCCTTTCACTTTTGATATTAACAAATCCAACAGTTCTGTTTGGTCCGTTTGCACTACCTCAAATGGCATGAAATTATAGTATGTGCAAAAATTTTAATTTCCAGGATATTGACAACACTATACCTTAGCGCTATGTTGTATTTATTAATTTTAAGTGGACTTACGGTAGTTTGAATATAGTTTAATTGGAGGAAGAAGAATAAATAGATGAAATGCATGTCAATAAGAATAATCTCTTGCCAGTTCTGAAAAATTCAAATTCTAAGATATACCTCTGCTGTTTGACAAATGTGCAAAGGAGAAATTTTTCCAAGTAAATGCTTTTCTAAATATATTAGATTATTTACGAATTAATCATTAAGTTTCAAAAATTTTCCTATAAATCGAAAACCTTGAAAAGAGCTGACAGTTGTAAAAATAAATAAAATAGAACTTACTGAATGAAATTTGTAAGACAATTTGACAAAGACCACGCGATCACTTCTGTTAGGTAATGTTATTGTTAGAGAATCGTGTGTATAAAGGTTTATTCAGGTAGGAGTGACAAACTGTGTTGCCAACTATGTCTATTGATAACTTACGTCCACATATAATAATATAGGTTTAATAATGATAATAGAATATGTAATATATTAATAATATTAGAATACATAAAAAATAATAGTATGTATAATAATATGATAACAACAATCACCCTTTACATTGAGTAATTTTATTCCAGCTGGTATATTACATTGCTGGAAATAATTTATGTAAAGCAGTTGTGACATTTTTTGCACAATTTTGTTTCATTTCGTTTTTATTTAACGTTTCATTCATATTTTTTTCAAAAAAATTCAGCGTTTTTCCTACATTCTGGATGGTTAATAAACAGATTAAAATTATTGACGATAGTCAAAAGTTACATGGAATAATAATGGGCACGTAACTGCAACGAATAAGATAAAAGAAACACATGAAAATTCGTACTGATATCAGGTGATTGCTTTCTGATCCGTTCCGCCAGCAATCTCTTATACATATTATTGTATAAGTGTTGTATTGTACGCTCTTTGAACGATACTATCAGTATTGCCACCTTAACATTTTAACATCCATTGGACTGAACATATAACCAATGTTGTTATCCTCCAACAAGCAGGCATCATTAATACAGATATCATGCTATCCACTGTGGTTGGATGGTCACATCTCTAGGATGAAGGATCATTGTCTTCGATTCTGATTCTACGATTATGCTGTGTGGCGAAATTGCCACTATCTACTGAAATAGAAAATGCCCCCAGAAAAGAGGTACAAGGATTACTGGAATTATCCCTCCGTCTTGGATAAATTCATCTCAAACAGTGAGATATAACGTTGTGACTTTCTTTTGGAAGATACACGAGCTCAGATTTGCAAATAGTGTCGCCCAGCAAGATGTTTCGCTGTGTTTTCTGTAGACTCATCTATCCTGCATTAATCATTTTAGCTACAAAGCGTTTGTAAATGCAGGTGGATTCTTTGCTTTGCAAAAGATAAATTTCCAATCCAAATTATCACAACAAAATGTAAGAAAGAAAAGGAAAAAATATTTTTGGATGCTTGGAGTGGTCTGTTTTATTTCTTGACTGTATGTAACAATTATTTGACTACCGTTAATAATTTTAATCTGTCTGTTAACCTTCCAGAATGTAGAACAAAACGCTGAAGCGTTAACTGAAAGCAAAATAAAACAAAGTTGTGCAAAAATGTCACAACTGTTTTGCATAAATTATTCCCAAAAATGCAATATAATAGCTAAAATAAAATTATTTAGTGTAAACAATGATTGCCATTAACATATTATTATATATTTCATATTATTATTTTACCTATATTATTATACATGGAAATTATAACTTATCAATATACGTAGTTTATCACTCCCATCTTAACAAGCATTTATACATACATGCGATTGTCTAACAATATCTAACAGAAGTGATCTATTGATCTCTGTCAAATTCTCTACAAACCTCAAAAGTAAATTATACTTCATTTAACTCTTTTTAATTACTTTTCAAGGTTTCGCGTTATGAGAAGGATTTTGGGATTCGATGATAAATTTATAAATAATATAATATAATTTGAAAAATATACATTGTTGGAATTTTTCCTTTATGCATTTCTCAGATAACAGCATTATTATTTATTATGAGCAGTGGTAAAGTAAATTTGAATTTTTTTCAGAATTGGCAAGAAATTAGTTTCATTGGCATGCATTGCATGTATTTCTTCTTCCTTTCTCAACTGAGCAATATTCAAAACTACTGTGAGTCCACCTTAGTTAACAAAATGCAACATAGCGCTGCAGTGCCTTAGAGTTTTGAAATTTTATACAGATTAACAATTTCATGCTATTTGAGGCAGCATAAAAGGATAAAACAGAACCGTTTGATCCATCAGCTCCAAATTAAACAAGAAAGGGGAGGCCTGTCAGTGGAGGGAGAGAGTGAGTGATAATAAGACTTCAACGGTTCGTTTCAATCGAAACAGATGGAGGTAACCATCAAAGCAAAAAAGAAAGCACAAGAAAGAAACGGCGCTGTCATATATATATGTATATATGTCGAAAGGAGGTAGCAACTATGAAAAAGCATATAACGACCCATATTCGTAAGAAGCCGCACAGTTGTCCGGTATGCCGGAAAAGTTGTTCGAGAAAACAGGATATGCGGACTTATATGATAAATCATGACATAAATAGACCTGTCTATCCCTGCACTGTATGCAATAAGGATTTTTGGTCTAAAGACAAATTGAAATCACACATGTGGAATCATTAAAGCTTACGCTTTTCTCTTTATTTTCAAAAGAAGAAATAAGCATTGTTATTTCTGTTGTTGTTAATTATTTATATTCTTCACCAGTCACTTATCCTTTTTTAAAATAATTATCGCTGCTACTATAGTTATCGGTTATGTTCAATTATTCCTCTTAATCACATATAATGTGTCATATCTTTCCTACCTTATTATTTATTTTGTTAGAATAAATAAATTTCCTGGCGGTGCCTGCATAACATGCAACCCTGCATGCCATGCACAAAGAATAAGTATTAATGCTGTTAAATACTAATGAAACAAAATTGATTATATGTATTCTTTTAGCGATTATTCCATTGATAACATAGAAGTAAATTTTTGGAAAAGAAAAGAATCTTTTTAATCGCAGCATATCATTTCATATTGGATTATACAACTAACTGTGCAATTCGCAACGAAAATTTTATCCATTAATTTTATTTGTCAATTAGCATTCAAAATTCTGTTTCAATTGTTCTATTTTTATTTAGAATTCCACTCACTAAAAATACTTAGTGTACTAATCTGACTTGAAAACGCATAATGCAGAATCATTAAAACATGCAGGTTAAACAGATATGCGTTGTGATATTTTTATTGTTGAGCGATCGAATAATTGATAGGCAAACAATAAAAGTTTCGAGTGAGCGAAAGATTTGAAGAGGTATATGGGAAAGTACTGTGGCATAAAAAATCAAACATATCATCTAACTATTTCTGCTGGAGTGGAAAATTCATAAAATTATTAGCTCTCACTTTTCATAATTGTGCATTTTTTAGAATTTTTCGTTACCTGATTTTACTAGTTGATATAAACTTCATATATTCTAATCGTTTCAATTAAATTTGCTTTATTTGCTGGAATTTGCATAATTGCTTCTTTTCTTCATTCTGCAGTTATAAATGCCAAAATCATTTAATCATTATTTATAATTAATTAGCTCATTTTATTGTGTGACGACAAAAAAATGCAATGAAAGCAGTGATTGACTCTGTAGTGCAAAAGACGCAAAAGACTTAAAATAGAATTTTAAATAGAACTTGTAAAAGTTGAAGAGAATTTGTGAAATTACTACTGGTATTTATTTCAAATTTGAGTATAAAAAATAACTCAGTCGAAGCATTTCAGTGAAAAGGACAAAATATACTTCACTACTTTCTTTTCACCTTTAAATACAGATTTTTTTTTTTATTCTTGATATTACTAAAGAAACAAAAATGACAAAAATGGATTATGACGAAGAATAAAATAGTCGGTATACTGTGAATGAGTTTCATGAATAGATTGAATTGTGTCATTCAATCTGTAATTTGCTTAATTAAAATTTTAACAATTAATTTAGCAATTTGACAAACATCGATAGCACCATTTCAGTTAATGCAATTGTATTCTGCAATACTGTAACACAAATTAAGCTTGTAATTGCATAATAACAAATTTGACTTTTGAAATTTTTCCCTCTGACTAATATTGCATATATTTGAAAATATGGAAAAATTGAAGCGAAATGAAATAAAATTGGAGCAAAAAATGTCACAACTGTTCTGCATAAATTGCTTCCAACCAATGCAGTATAGCAAATGAAATTATTCAGTGTAAAGAATTAAAAATGATTGCTATTATCATATTCTACGTATACGTAAGTTATCAATACACGTTGTTTACTATTCCTATCTGAATGAGCATTTACACATACGATTTTTTAACAATATTTTATAGAATAATTGATGGTTTTTATAAATCTTCTTCCACAGTTTCGCTCAGTAAGTTCTTTTTAATTTATTTCTACAGCAGGTATCAGCTTTTTTCAAATTTTGACGTTATGAGAAAATTCTTGAAATAACTTATTTATTTGCTTGCTTAGAGAAGTTTGTCAAGCAGCAGCTGTGTTATTTCTTATGAGCAACTATCAGTAAGCAAATTTTTATACGAGATTATATATTGCATGGTAATTAACTTTCTAGGTTTTCATAATATTTTTTAATTCCAAACGAAGTTCAAAATAATAGTTAGCAGCATGTCTGATCAGATCAAACTCTAAATTGACAGTAATACTTAAACAACTAACAAAAATTTTATTAGAATTATATTAAATATTCTTTTTTATGCGATGTTTAAGTCTTTATTACATTTTCACCCAAGAAGCCCTTCACGTACGTACGTAATCGATCGACGAACTACCACTTTTAAGAATGGCAGATGAAACATGTATAGTGATTTTAAGCTATTCTATTAAATATACATCTTTTCCATGCGTCCCTTTCTCCAATGTGTATATCGCCGTTATTCATCGACTTTTTTCTAACACTGAATTCTAGGCATCACTAAGGCTTACTATCGATATTTAAATATGGCCTTTCGTCTTATTTAAAGCAACTAGAGCCGAGCCGCTTGTGCGGTTGCGCTGCCTCAATCCTTTCATTTGTTTATGCTCTAGTATTATTTGCAATCAGTAATGGCAATACTCCTCTTAACAGTAGTTATTAACTTGTTTGCTTGTTTTGACGATACGGAGGGAATTGATTTATCACATCAGGTTTTTTTTTTTTTTTATTTCCTTTCTTTGTATTTTCGATAATAAAATTTGAATTAGCATAAAATTTATTGCTTTTATTCCATCTGAAAAAAATTCATGGATTTTTTTCACTTTTCAACTAAAAATACTACTATCAATTATATATATATATATGGGTTACAAAATTATAACGACTTCAGCAAGTGTTAAAAATAATTTTGTCGATTGAAATACAATTATAGACAAAAGGTTAAGATTCATAACACTGTTACAATTCATATATCTTTATGATTATAAAATTCACTATAAAATGTGATTACCATCAATCAGAACATTGCTTGTTTTTCTAATTGGATGTTGACATTTTTGTTATTGATTACCATAAATGACATAAAATTATTACCATTGCCATAAATTTTTTTTCAGGATCTACCTGAATTTATTGGTTTGATAAGCCGTGGCATTGAAACCATTCCAAGTCCATTAGCTTTCGGACACAAATACATGACAGGTATTTTAAACTTTCATTTTTAGGAATTTCTGGAAATTCGTAGATTCACTACTATAAAAACGCGCTAGAATTCTTTTGTTCCTATGTTAGCTAAATTTGTTATTTGCCAGATTGAATACATAATGAAAGATACCAGTTTAACAGGGATACAAAGACATGATAAACTGAAAGCGGAATCAGTTACAGGTGGAGCTGGTGAAGGTTCACAACTTCTGCGACCTGATTCGGATTTTGAAGAGCGAGAAAAGGTGAGCTTGTTTCCAAAAAAGGAGGCACATCATTATTCTGATTTCTTCAGCAAATGCGAGATTCATTTATAGTTAAATCCTTCGACATCTTCCTCACATTCAAAGGGCCGAAGAAGCACCAAGGTAAGAACTATTGAAGCTTCAGATTTACTAACTTACAGGTTAAAAGCGACAACATATTGCCATCCTATTGTGAACCACCAAATCCATGCCCATTAGGTTATACAGCAGCGGATGGTTGCTTGGAAGAATTTGAAAATAGTGCTGAATTTTCACGAAATTATCAAGCCAGACAAACATGCATTTGTGATCAGGAACATATGTTCAAGTAAGCATAAATTATTGATAAAGGAATGAAATTGGGTAAAAAGAAATAAAAGATAAACAATATGATAAGATAAATAATGATGTAAAGATGATTAGTGTAATAGTTTACATGATAAATTTGTTAACTAAAATGTCTAACGAATGTATCATACTATAAAAAGAAAATATCTCATTGATTTGTTTTACTTGAAGTAAACTATCAAATAAATTCGTGTTATTATCATCTTAGAAGCATCAAATTATTAAGATAAATAATAGATTAATATAGTAAAATAATTAATATTATAAAAATAAAATTTATTATAAAACAACACTTCTAATAACACAAAGACAAATACAACAATAAAAAGCAAATTAATAATGCCACAAGTTCAATTTTTACTTTAAATTTACTCATCGATTAGATCTTATCAATGATTTCAAAACATATTTTCATAATTTAAATCAATAATGTCCTCCTTAATTTATCCTTTCTCACTAATTGTTTCTATTGCTTACGTATTGTCAACATTTATTGCTGTTTTTTTTTTTTTCTTTTCTAAAGTTTAGCGAATAGGTGATAGTTTTCAGTTGTCCAGACAAAAAGATTGATGATGAATTGATGGAGGAAAGTTTGCAAAGTATTCTCAATGATCAAGGATTGCATAAAACTCTCATTGCCAAAAAATTTCATGAAAAACGATCACAAGCAATGGTAAGTGTAAGACGTAAGAGAGGATGATTTTTTTTTTTTTACAATTAAGCAGCAGAAATTATTTGCATATTTGAATTCATAAATTAAAATTAAAAGTATTAGTTCAAAAAGTTAAATTCATATATTTAAGTGTTTAAATCTGAGTGTTTAACCAATTGCAGAATTCCATTTTTTTTTTTTTTTAGTGTTTGGTAATATTTATTAAATCTCGAAATATTAATATGATATAAATTTTTTTACCATTGATCGATTTAAAAACTTCTTCATTAAAGAAAAAAGGAAAAAAATTGGACGATAAAAATCATTTTAGGATTGTTAGGTTTTCTATAATCAATAAAAGAAAATGAGTTTTTAAGATATGAATGCAAATTTAAAATTTCTTTACTTTTACCAAACATCTGGCTTTTTACTTCTACCACTTTTACCAAACATTTTCTCATCAAATTTTATTTGATTCTTTGAAATAGAATTTGAGAAATAAAAGTTAGAGTTTCAGGAACCTCGTCGAAAGCGTTCTATCAATGACATATCCATTCAACATTCTCAAAATCAACAGAATCCATACTTCAAAGGTGAAATTTTAAAATCGGTGATTAAAAAAGATGGTCGAAATATATGGCAATGATAACTACTGATCAGATGTGTAATATCAAAAATATCAAATGATTGTTTTGATTATTCAACAACACTCGATGGTTATAAGGAAAGCAACCCTGTGATTCTTTTCAACAAAAATGATCTTTTCAAAATTAATTGTTTTAATGATAATCCTAATAAATTTTCTTATTTTCCTAGTCTATAACATATATAATATGTTTACACAAAATATAAACCAAAAATTTTTAATTTCATTTTTTTACCCAAATTTTTTCTTTTGTAATTTGATAAAATTTAATTATATCAAGTATTACAACTAAAATTTTTGCATAACTTATTCAAACAAGTAGGGGTCATATGATGTTTATCTGTTTGACAACTTTAATAGTATTAATAGAGTAATTACTTGGCTCAATATTTTATGACTACTAGTTATCAACTTAATTCTTACTTTTTATCAGTATTTCTCATACATAGGCTTACAAGTTCTTTTTTTAAATTTTTTTTTTTACTCTTTTTTTATCTGATTAAGTAACATAACATCGCTAAAAAATATTCTATTTCCTAATCAGCATAACAATAGCTAACAATTATTAAAATACAAATTATGTAATTATGCAAGTTATCTGTTATCTGCATAGCATTTTTTGTTTGCTTGTTTGTTTATTTTTTGTAAATAATCATAGGCTGATATATTTTAAGTATATGATTCGCTAATTAAATTACGAAAAGACTAATAATAATTATAAAAAAAGCTTATAGTAGTAGTATATAAATAAAATGTAACGAGATGTAAAACGCTGATATGATATCAAACACTGGTACAATGGCACAATACCAAAGTGCTTATTATTTTCTAGTTACTGTATAGAAAAACTAATACAAATTGCAGCATTTTCTTAATATTCATATTTTAAATTTGATATAAAAATTAATTTTTATTGCAAAAATGATATAAAACCATGATAGCTTTAAAATTTAATTGATTTCGCGACACAAATAGTGTTTAAAACTCAATTATTAAATTTTTAGTAACTGTTTCAATTCCTAATTTCAATATGATTCTTCTGAAATCAAAAAATGCATTCAGTAGTTTTTTTTTTCTTTTTTCATTAAAAAATCAGGTTTGTTGTATAAATTTATATATATATAAATTTAAAATTAGTTTTTTTTTTTATTATATACATAAAAATATTACTATAAATTTTTATATGTATATATGTATATGAATTTTTATAATTTCATGATTTTTTTTGGAATTAAATAGTGGTTTTCTATTAATATTAATTTTTCCAAAACAGCATACCAAAGAGAAAGTTTCATGATGGGAATTTGAAAATGTTAGATTAATTCATTGCTTGAAATAATTTAGGCTGATTGCTTTAATGATCCATAATTAATTAATTGGCAGAAAGAAATTATAATTTAAAATGTGAAATCAATATAAAGTCATTTCATTGATTTGTAATGATTTCATTTAATCAATTGAAATAAATAGCAATTCAATTCATTTAAAATATCACTCATCGATAATTCATCTCAATGGAACAACTGAACATTATTGAATTAGAACAAGACGGATAATTAGCAGATTTCTGCTAATTAATTATATTTTTTATAATTAAGTTTATAATCTGTTTAAAAGGCAAAATTTCTATGCATTCCAAATTTTCATATAAACCTAACAAATTTAATTAAATTTCTCTCTTTTCCAAGTTATCTTCTTTGAGATATAAACCGTAAATTAATCAAATTTCCTTTTTTTGTTATTATTAAGATTTAATTAAAAATACTTTACACAGATGTAATGAATACATTTTGCAACATGTAATATTATTAATTTTAAAAAATACAAATTTAATAAATATAAATCTTCTTTTTGCTATCTTTCTCTTCCCACGCAAAAAAAAAAAAGAAAAAAGAAAGAAAATTAACTGCAGAAGAATGAAAAAGATAAAACAATTAGTTGAGCATTTAATTACTTCCATAAATTTTGAAGCAAATTTAAATTACAAATTTAATTATTATTACCTTCTTTTCAACAAATCTTATTTATCTATGAATAAAAAATTTGCATATTTCAGTAATCATTGGTCTAAATTAATATTTATTTTAACACATTTAAACATTTCGATATTTTATTTTGTTAGTTTCATTTCCATAACAGAAAAATATGTATAAAATTAGAATGAAATTCATATTTCCTTGTTGTTACTGAAAGTAATTTAGAATGGAATAATTTGAATGATGCAAAATTTTGTTAATTAATTTTTTTGCAGATGTAATTTTTATTAGATAATTAATTTTGAATTAGTCGATTAAAAACATCGATAACTATTTTCTGATGCTAATGCTTTTATAACAAAAGTAATGGACCTATGCAGTACGCTTCGCCCATCTATCTTAAAAGGTTTTCATTTTCTCATTTATTTTATCAGTAGTTAATTTTTATTTAGTTTATTTATTCAAATATCATTTACAATCCTAAATTTAATCTATATGTTAATTTAAAATTTTACTAAATACAAATGATTGAAATGAAGATTAATTGATTTTCATGTTCATATAAAGCAATCGTATATTTATTTCATTCAACAATTTGCAAACGTAAATTCTTCATAATGACGTTTATCCGTGACGTTGATACGTTATATACGTGCAGATCATCATATCGTCTTTATCGACCGTATCAGTTTGAAATTCAACGAAGAACAATTCCTAACAATTCAGCAGTGCTTCATCGTACACCAAATCTTGATATCTTATCAGAAATTAATCGACGATCTAGACGACTCGAACGTATTGTTTCTTATCAAAAAATTTTAACAGTTACTCAGGTATTTTCGTTTTTTGTTTTGAATTTTTGATAAAAAATTGAATGTAATAAGTTTTAGTTTTCGAAAACATTTGTAGTAATCTAAGAATTATATGAATTAATATGAAAAATTGAAAAAAAAAAGAGTTATAAATTATTTTTTTTTCATAATATACTTGGATTTAACTTTTACTTAAGAAGTATTTTCAATTATTTCGTTTTAAAAATTAGTGATAACTACTTACTTGTTAATTTGAATTTGCCATAACAAATTGAAAATTAAACTTGAATTTATTATAAATTTTTTTTACTATTTTTTTTTTTTGTTAATTTTTGCAATAAGAAAAATAAAGACAGGAAATTCAAGTTTTTTTTTTTTTTTTTTTAATAATAATTTTTCTTAAAATAAAAGAGCAAAAAGTTTTATAATAATTTTTCAAAAATTATTCAGTTGCGATATTTATTAAAATTTTATACATTTTATTCAGATTATAATAAGTAAACTGGACAAAAATAACACTTGATTAATTAAATATCTCTTAATAAGTAAATATTTTTTGATTGTAAACTTCTGTATATAAAATTGTTTTATATTAATTTTTTTCTCAACTTTAAATTATTTCAAAAACTATGTTTTGGATTTTTAGGAAATGTAGAAATTATTAACAACAGAATTATGGCACTTTTCAATCAAAAGTTTTTTTTTTCCCATTTATAAAAATTTCAACGATGTTTTGATAATTAGTTAACGTACATGAACAACGATTCAAAGATAAATTTGTTGGGAAAAAAAAAAGTGTTGAAATATGTATCACATAAGAAAGAAAGAATAGGGAAGTCACTGTAGTTTTTGCTCCAGCAATTCAATTTGACCAACACAATAGTTTCTATCTGATTTAATGATAAAGTAGAGCAAAATCATTTCAATTAGTAAATCTATAGTAAAATGTAATCACTTTTAACATTGATATGACTGAAAATCCATTGGACTTCATCATTTAGCGCTTTCCAACATAGATGATATGGAGCTTTACAACCATACATGCGCCATCTATGAAATGAGAACGAAATTTTATTAATCAAAAAGAAGAATGAATGTCTGAAATAATGAATGCATATTTATTATTGAAATAACCACACTTGTTTTAAATATTTGTACTACAATTTTTTAACTTATGTATTACAATTTTTTTTTTCGTTGAATTAATGCATTAATCTGATACATTCAAATGAAAAACGCCTAAATGTGTGGGACAGAAGAAATATTTTAGAACTTGAAACAAAAAATAAAATTTGGTTAAACCAATAAACTAATATTTTAGTTTGGTTCAAAATTTGCAACATCAAATTCTAAGACAGAACAAATTTTTTATCCTAACTAAATGAAACATAGAAATCGCATACCTCAATGAATGAATGCAACATAATTCCAGCACCAGTAGAGGGGTAACACACAAACGTGCAAAATTTTTTGGTATTTCCGCGGCAGCAATTGCAACGGGATAGCAACCATTCGATTTCTTTCACTTACAAATATTTCTTTCTAAATTTTTTAGCAGAAAAATACTTTTAATACTCAATTTTCTTTATCATCTGTTGAATTTATTTTTTATTCTAAGCATACCACAACATTCGTTGCTTTTCCACATTAAAGAACATTTTGCGCCAAATCTTATATCCAATAGAAATGTAATGCAAAAGAAGAAGAAATTCTTACCCATTTTCACTCACAATATTTCCAAAAGTAATCTATTTTACAAATTACTTAGAATAAAGTAATGGACTAGATACAATATTCATTTACAACAGAATAAATAGATGAATGATAATCTAATTTAATTTTGACATAAATCTTAACATAAAGATTTTCAAATATTTCTAAATATAATTTATTTGATGTGTTTATAAAATTTAATAACACTTCTAGGAAAATTTAGTAAAAAAACTTAAAAAAAAAAAAAAATAAGATTACAGGAACACAAAAGAAAAAAATAAAAAAATAGGGTACATTATGAAAATACAATTCCATATTTTAAAATGTTGATAGAGAAATTACTATTTCTCATATTGAAAATGAGCATAAAGGAAAACCATTTACATTCGGGTACCCATTTCCACGGGCAATCATATTCTATTGTGACATCTTTTGCTGATATACATTGTAAGCCATAATGAAGGATTACATTAGTGTCACGATATTAATGTAATCCTTCATTATGGCTTTACATTAATATCGCGACACCGACTGAATGCCAGAATTCATATTAACGGTTCTTTTCGGCGTAAGTCCAGAAATGCTTTATAGATGAATAAGATATTATCTGTCACATCTTCTGTGTAATTTATCATTGATTGAATCTTTTGAAATTCCGACTTCATAAACAAATCCCTCCTTAATGATGAAAACGTTTCTTGTGCAAAATTTAAAATGTGCTTGATGGATATTTGAATTTCATTTTTAAATGAATTATATTTTTCCAGCATTAGCAGATTTTAATTGAAACAGAATTAATAAAAAAATTAAAACGTTTTTAATATTTTATTTATTAAAACTTTTAAAAACTGTCGAAATTTCTTAAGTAATCCTATCTAGAATTGTGACTAAAATTAATTTTAATATTTAAACAATAATTGAAATCAATTATAATTGCAGATTTAATTAATTTCTGCAATGAAAGTTTGCTTTAAAGTTAACTTTTAAAGTTTAAAGTTAACATAAAGCGTCAAAAATAATCAAAAAAAAAAAAAAAAAAAAAAACAATAACACCATATCAAAGTGCTGATACAGTGATATGATATCAGTACATGTCAAAACTAAAAAAATAAGCCTTCGAAGGTCTTGTAACAATGTTTTTCACCATTATATACATTTATACTTTAAAGTTTCGTTTTTCTGCTCTCTTACTCTTTTTCCCCTCTCCCTCTCTCTCTTTCCTTCTCTCTTTCTCTCTGAAATAACATCATCTTTAGCATTGCCTTTTGTTTTCTTTACCTAAAAAATTGATAAATTTTATCAGATCATTCCATCTCCTATGTTAAAAAGAAGAAACAACCAAATGTCTTTCTTTTTCTCTAACTGCTTATTCCCTCCTATTACTCTAAGTCTAAAGTTAATATTTCCATTTTTCCCAATCTTTAATCGACATTATATATAGATACATGTCATATCTATCAAATTATCAGTATTTATTCAACGAAAATATTTCTAATCTTTGTGTAATTACTTTCCTTTTTTGATTTAATTAAGTGATATCTTGACATGTGCATGTACTTCTGAGATAATACTGTTGCATAAGAGACCTAATGGGTTGCACTGTGAAGGAAGGATAAGCGAGAGACAATCCTGACAACGACAGTAGTGGTATTGGTTGGTGTGGGACGTGGCGTGGACGTGACGTGGTGTGACGTGATTAGCTTTCTTCTTCTTGAAGAAATATTGTGGAATGTATTAGGTGAGAAAAAGACACTGAGTGCTAAAACAATCGAATATATGATAATGTGTTTAGATACAGGTTCAGTGAATGATATGATTTTAAAATGCTCTTATCTTCTTTTTTCTTCTTTGTTAACTGATTTTATGAATTTTTTATTTATTTTCAATTTCAGAAACACATTGTTACATACGTTTTTACAACACTGACATATACGCTTATATTATATCTTACTCACTTATTTAACAAAGATTAATAATATGACATCAACAATTGGTGGTCGTATGAATGTAACAGGTAATGATGTGAAATTAGGACGAAATGGTGATCAAATTGTAATAAATGAGAAGCAATCGAGCAGAAAAAGGTATTATGTGTAATATTAGAATTATATTTTAATCAATTGACTAAATGAATTTTTTTAACAAAATACGATGCTTCTTTGTTTTTCAACTATACAGTTATAGTTGTTATCGAAAGGGACATATTTGACGGAGTGTGTTATTTGAGTTCTCTCAGTCACATTTTTTTTTTGTTTTTAGGTTACATTTCTTCATCTAAAATAGTTCATAGAATATTCCTTACCTATTATTTATATTTATTAACTTGCACAGGCACAATAAATTTCAAGAAAATATGCTTTCATTTTTCCAGATAGCTCCTCAATGTTTCACATCAGGGAACACAGTGCTTGTTTAGTTGATCTTTTCATTATATCTCGGGAATATTTTTACCAAATTATATCATTTTCAGGAGTAATGCTAAGCGTGGCGGTGTAAAGAGACGAATGTCATTGGCGTATCAACAACAGCAGTATATGCTAATGCGTGGAGGCCATCCTGGTGGAAGGGTGATGTTTTCTTTTCTCGTATTTCCTCTTTTCGCTTTTCAGCACTACAGTTGCAAATTTTCCATGTATGAAATTCAATACTCCGATATTATACACATTTAATTGTATAATTTGCAGCCGCTACATCCTGTTGGAACAAATGCCGCACGAATGATGTCCTCACGATATCCTAATGCATCCGGACCTCCCCATCATTTCCCACCGCAAAAGTTCGGCTTTTTCAACGAAGCAACACCATCGATACATCCTGGTCATCCGGGATCAGAGGTAGTCAGTTTTTTATACTTTTCACTTTTTTGGAATAAAAATCACTCGAGCGATTTGGATTGCCTATTAGTTTCAGACATCTAGTTTTGAAAAAAAAAAGAACTGATAAAAAAATGCAAAAAATGCCCTCCAGCGATGCTTTCTAGCTCGCACTAGACATGAGGTGTGGAACTTATTTTTAAAAATTATTTTGAACAGCTTTGTTTTGCTTATATTCCAAACGTTGCGAAGGTGTTTTCGCTTTAAAAATTTCAAAGTGTTTTGTTGTTAGCAACGTTTGATTTTATAATAACTTTTGATCGCTAAGCAAAAGATTACAGATGGAGCGCTTTAAAATTCTTGAAATTGAAAATGAAATTGTAGAATGCAAAAAAACCCGGTAAAGGCACATAAAAAATATTTTATTAATGTGCACTGTTTGGATTACTAGTAATGTGCTCTTTTTATTTCAGCAGATTTGCTCAAAATTGGTTTTTAACAGTTTGTAAGCTAACTTGTCGAAGGGCCAGAAATTCTATTTAAACTTAAAAATGCCAGCAGTTGCTTTTGCTGCTTTTGCTTTTTCTAATAAATTATTTTGGTTGGGGTCTCGGGAGGAGAAGATAGGTCGGTTTAAAAAGCAAAGCAAAAAACGAAGGAAATTTAAAAGGATTTCGAATTCTTTGTAATATATGTTTATGATATAAAAAATCTGTAATCTTTTGAAAATGCCCTACTAATATCATCATTCACCAAAAATGGTATGCATGCAACAAGTGCTGATGTCATATTTACTGCTGGAGGTCCATAAACTTTACCAAATTCTGAATTTCAAATAATGCATTCGAGAATTGCAGAAACGCATTTACGAAGGCCCACCGAAGCCGCGTTTGATGTTGGAAGGTTTTGGTTTTTTTCATCGTTTTAACATATTTTACAAAGTTCACAGAAAACGATGATTTAACAATTCAAAAATTTTTTCCATTAAAATAATCAATGAAACCTAGACTTTCATCCATTAACCAATGAAAGGGTTAAAAGATGCCTAGGAAAGATTAGTTGGCTATAGACTCACAGTGTTCTTGAATGTGTATTCAAGAAAGTTTGAATGTGAATTACGTTTTATATTCTTGTAATAGGTCCGGATTTATGCATTTAGTAGCGATAATACTGATGAAAAATGCTAAGGCCTACGGAAGACTAACGTGGGGAAATGTGCAAATTTATTAAATGTGAACATCTTGTTTCACATATTTGAACCTTGAAATATCGTTTAAACTTTTCTAAAAAAATTTTCATTTAAAGCAAAGAAGTACTTCCCTTTAACTAATTTAAAAAATTAAAGAACAGACATCTGCTTTTTTTATTTTTTGTTCCTTGTTTTTTGTTTTGTATTTTCCCTCCTTTTTTCCATTTCTCTGTTCGCACCGATTAAAAGAACGACGTGTTCTTCTGTTATTTATTTTTGATGAACTTTACTGTTTCATTTTATGGTGGGATGTTTTGATATTCCAGAGCAGGGAAGGACACGACAAAAGTCAGTACCAAAACCACCGAAGTTTCTATTCACTTCAGGACGTGGTGATATTGAGTTAGACGTAAGTCGTTTCGTTCATACCCCAAGTTTGCACTAGTTTAGTTATACCCTGATGTGGGATATTTATTAAGAGCATACACAACTCTCTAATATTCAGTCTTTATTCATCCCTCAGTGAATGCTTCTTTCTTAATAAGTAGCTATAGGCAGTTTCGGAGTTATTATTGCAAGCACCTGTTGATGAAAGACCGGTTTATGGTTTATGGTGTTAGTTTTATTGCAGGATCTTTAGTGTTCTTATTTTGAAATTCAACTGTAATGGGCAATTTTGACAACTGCCAAGTTACATTTGTGAATATTGGGTTCACAGCTTGAATTTAGAACAATTTTTAGAATTTCCAAATTCTTTGAAAAAGAAAAAACTTTTAGAATCTGTAGATATTTGTCTAATTTATATTTTTCCGTTATAATATAACACATTTCAGGGCAGGCCATACATAGGGTCGACGTTAGAAGTTGGAAGTTATAGATCAGCTGTTCCGAATGAACAGCAAGGTGGAATGAATGAATTATTTGGTAAGTTTGAGATTTTATTTCGGTGGCTGTTCAGTGATATAATTATGAGGAAAAAACTCGCAACTGGAAATTTAACAAATTTTACCATTATTCATCAGAATTTTGTTGGATATTGTGACATAATGAAAGCGGTTGTGCACTGTCGTTTAATCAGGTGTTGTTTGACTCGAATTTGAGTTTATCGGATGTTCGGACAGTGGAAAAATAGATTCTCAATGAAACATACAGCTTACTATGTTTTTAATGTGTAGTATTTGCTATGTTTTTAGTGTCTACGGTACTACTTTCAGCAAAAATGATTTGGAAGAAGTTAGATATGATTCAAAGTCCAATGCGTCTGAATCGTTTGCATACGGAAATTATGAATTTGCTGCAACAGGCAATTGCTGAAGAAACGGGCAAATAGTGGTTGTGATTTGAAATTATCCTAAAGCACATTAAGTGTGAAAAATTAGTTATGTAGAATATTTGAGCCCAGGTGATGATAAATTAGTTCATGAGAAGTGTATCTAATGATGTGCTTTGTAAGAAGTTTGCTTAATGTTTTTTGAACTCAGTGTTACACTATTATGACGCATAACAGTACACTTGAATGCTTTGGTTTAGTAAGAAAAGAGAGAGGGCTAAAAGAGTTTCCGGAAAAATATATCCACATATCTTCACAATATTGCATTATTTTGACATATTATTCAGAAGTTTTGGTAACTTTCGAATTTGTTCGATGATCAAAATGCAGCAATAATAGTATTATCATAACAGTAATCGTGTAGTCTTTGATATTTGCATTCCATTCTTCCTTTAAACCATTTAAAGCTTGAAGTAAGGCTTACTAGAATTGTCATCAGAAAACAAGAGCCAATATCAAAGATCCCGAAAGAAACATTAGCAAAGAAATCTGTATACTATTCCATTGAGAAAAGAGAAATTAGCACAATGAGATCTCCCTCTCATCTTTTTTTTTATTTCTTTTTGTTTTTATTTCTTTTATTTCTTTTCAGGCATCAAGATTTCATTACAGTATTTGAACTTGTAAATACCGTTCTAGGTGCTGTATTGTTGATGACCAGTGCAAGGCTTGTTTTTCTTTTTAGAATTTAAATTTAATTTAAGAGTGATAATAATGATGAAAACATCTCTACAAATTTTTATCCGTATCCATAGCAAAAATCTATGAGAAATTATAGAAGAGTTACGAAACAGAGGAAATAATTAAAATGCTCAGAACTATTTTTTTTTTTTTCTGTGACTGATACTCCATGTAAATTCAGCTCTTTTTATCTGTTTACATGAAATATACATATTTCAAGTTGCATTTTTAACATAAGAGAAGAGCGAAAGAAAATGGTAAAGCGCAGAGAACTGAAAATTAGAAAATATAAAAATCGTGGTAACAATGCTGCACAAATATATCATTGATTTATCGAGGCGAAAGAACATAAAAAGCAAACATAAAGAAATGAAAATTACAAAACATGCATGTCTCGTAACAATACTGCACAAATATGTTATTGATCTGTCATAAAAGGAAATGAAAAAAATTCGTTGCTGTATTTATTGTAAAGAAATGACTGTAAGTCGATTGTGGGCAAAAAAATCGTTGGGATCTATTTGAAATAAAAGATTGGCTGTATCCCACCTTGTTAACTTTGCTGATAGGGAATGTATTTTCGGGAAATGTTACTTTTGGGAAGTACGGTCTTCTTGCTCAATTTCAAAATTAAAAATCACACATACAGCTGTTTTTGAAGGGTTTTTTTTCTAGAACTTCATTTCGAAACACTGAAACTAACAGCACCGTCTCCCCGAATAGTCTGGAGTTTTAGCTTTAAAACACTCTTCCCAAATATCGGATGTCGGATATTTACGATATCGTTTAGTAACAACAAGAAGTGGTCGTTGAATCATTTTCAGCGGCGATTCATTTTCCAATAGAGCAAGGCGTAAATTCCATAACTGAAAAAATATTTGGACAGCTCACCATTATATTCTAAGTATTTTTCTAATCAATTAATCGTGGAATAATTTTAATCAAAATCACCTGTCCTCGGAATACTTTCAATTGATTATTTATCAGAAATCTATTATTGGTAGTATCAATCATGAAGAGCTTTTTAATTTCCGTACATAAACGATGAACGAACATTGGGGTAAGTAAAGATAACAAACGATCGCGTAATTGTTCATCCCAAGGCTGGAAATATGACAAATTCAGCAGGAAAGTTATAATAAAATATTTATAAAGAAATCACAACATATGATTTGAATGTAGAGAAAAATTACGTAAAAAATCATTTACTTAAGGGTTTAATTTGCAATCTTCATAATTTGAGAAAAAGTCTTTCATTGACAAAAGAGTAATAAATTAAAAAATAAAGAACTTCGCTACTTCCTGAGAAGTTATACTTTAATATTAGAAAAAATTTTGTCTGGTATGCAACAACAAATTGATAATCATTTTAAGCAATTAAGGAATATATCGTTGAAACTATCAATTTATTCGGACACTAATTTATGATAGTTGAATAGCTGATAAAAAAAAAATTTAAATTATGCCTCTCGCGTGCTATCCATATTTGCCCAGCCGTATACAAATGGCCGAAGAACTGTTGCAGTTTCTGGATGTTTAACAGGAAATGCTAAGCCATGATCTATAGCTGCAATATCAAGTGTTTCATCCGGTATATACCTGAAATTAAGCTAAATAAAAAACTTGAAACATATACAGAACACAACATGTCGAGTAAAAAATAGAAATTTTGGACAATTGAAATATAAGATAAATAAATAATTAACCGTATCAACCAATTATCCATGGTCCGATCAGTATTCCGAATTACATAATCTAATACACACATTTTTTGAAACAAAACAAGGAAACGCTTCCGTTCGAGGGATGTAAGTGGATCATTGGTACCGATAAACTCCCAACCAGGTACCACATCATACGCGGGTTTGTAACCATGAACAAAGAGCTTAAATATATTTAACATTCAATTTTCTTCTAAAAAATAACAAGGAAGAAATTTGAGAACAATGAAACTTTTTATGTTCCAACAAAATTAAGATATTATGAAATGGGAAACATTAGTAGATTAAAAATATTATTGATTACCTGGTAACTTCCAATTTTTGGAAACACTTCTGATTTTGAACAACATCGTCGTGGATAAAAGAATGCCGGAGATGCCATTTTAACAATACGAGTCTTTGGTACAATGTATAGCTATAAATTAATGTATAAATAAATAAAATTAAAAGATGAATAAAATGTGCTTCAATTTTCAGTTATTAAAAAATTCTAAAAGAATTAATTAAAATTTTTGCATAAATTATACGAACCTGAAACCGTTCATCAACCAATGAAGCAGCTACTTCAGATAGATAACCATTAAGTGGTATTAAACATGAACGTCCGTAACAGCAAAAACAGAGGAATCGTTGTAAAAATTTTGGCCATTTCGGATTATTTTCCGCAAATGGTTCTTCATCTTTTGGTTTAAATACACCAATATGTCGGCCTTGTAAATTTCGAACAAAATAGGAGCCTAAAAAGGAAAAAAAAAAAAAAAAACTCTCAGCTTAACATATACAAAAAAAGATGAATAGTTTAAGTGTAAGCAGCTAAGAGAAAAAACAGGGAAAAATATTACGATTAAACTCGAATGTACATTTATGTTTATAAATATTCCATTTAATTATAATTCATATATATTATATACATATTAGCATCAAATGGTAGATAAAATATTTGAAGAAATACCTGAACTTCCGGATGGAATCAAAATTGGATGAATGTTACATTGGAATGCTTCTAAGCAATCATTCAAATTTTCCACAAAATCTTCATCATCAACATCAAACATTAATAATTTTAACTTATTATCTTCTCCATGTAATCGACGCCAAAACATTTTAATTTGTTGTCTTCGTTTCATTCTGTGATCTGTAAGTATAAATTAAATTAAATTTATGATTAGAAATTTTAAAATGAATATTTTTAATAGCATAAATTCAGTCAAATTATTACCTCATCAATATTTTAAAACATTGACTGTTAGAAGATTACCAAAGATAAAGCATATTTCCAACGAGTTTATGATTTACTATGATTAAGAAACCGGAAAAAAAAAAAAAAAAAAACGTTTTACTTTACATTTATATTGCGTATAAAATATTTCTAAAATTTTTTTTGGATGAAAAATTATTACAAATATATCAAAAAAATTTAAATAATCAACATTTCGTAATCCTGATTACCCACATACACTATTACTTTAATAATAATAATAATAATAATAATAATAAACTATCACTCTAATATATTCAATCTCTATATTATTTCCGATATTATATCATACCATAATTAATAATTTCTTTCCAAAATAATTCTCCGATATTTTCTAAAATACAACTCTTCAAATATACACTATTGAAAATAAATCAACAATGGTTTATGAATATTACGAATTATTTCACTAAAAAATAAACAGAAAAATTAAAAAAAAAAAAAGGAGACTAAATAGTAAAAGTTAGTCAACAAAAGCAAGTAATGATAATAATAAACAATAAAGCATGAGATAAAATATTTATCGAATAACTTTCCCAATCTTTTATTAAAAGCATCACTTAATAGGGCAAGTTTTTTTTTTTTTTTTTTCAATCATAAATTAAAGACCTATTATATCTCATTATTTCTCTTTATTTCCGTCTTTTTTTATCATTATTTCTGGAACACATTTCTCATATATATTAAATAGAGGAAAAAAAAAAAACAAATACATATAACATGAATTAAATTTTTATTAAAATTTTTTCCTCACTATAAACCACAAAAAATTTATTCAGCATTCATTCTTCATATCTACATCACTAATACTAAAATCATCCCTCTCTCTCTCTCTCTCTCCCTTTCTCGAGAATATTAAAAGGGGTTGGTCTAGACGAGAAGGAAAAGAAGAAAGAGAAAAAGAAAATATCTGAATCATGTAAAAATATTTTTTGGGCAATTTTTTTTTTTTTTGCTATTATAATTGTAAAAGTTTTCTCTTTCACATCATACGTGGTAATTTTTGCTACATGAATTTTCATTTTCTATAATTCAAATTCATATATTAATATATTATACAATAAATGTGAGAGAAAAAAAAAAAGGACAAACAAAAACAATAACACAAACATACAAACAAAACAATAATAAAAACAACAAAAATAACAAACAGTAATACGCAATAACAATAATAATAATAAACAATAAACTTTATTGGAATATTTATATGAATTTTTTTGACATGAAAAACATCCCATAGCATATTTTTGTTATATTATAATAAACTTTCATAAATAATTCTAGTATGCAATAGCAACAACAATAACAATAACAACGGAGAAAATAATGGGCGACAAAAATTTACGGAAATTAATCAAATTAGTAATATCATTCTGTATTAGCAAACCAAATTTCCTTCTTCTAAATTTTAATTAATTATTTAAATTAGCAAAAGCTCAATTCACCAAAAAAACAATTTTATCAATTGCACTAAATTATACAAACACACTGCAAATGAATCACACATTATTTTGATGTTAATTTTTAGTTCTTGATATTACTTGATGAAAGAAAAAAAAAGAAAAAAAGAATGTCACTTCTCTTAATTGATTACAGCAATCACAGACTGATAATATTATCATTAAACAACGCTGTTTTATTTCTACAAAACATGTATTTAGAGATTTTAATCAGCATATACTAAAATTAATCTATAAAGTTTTTCTTTTTTCTTCGCATACGAATAATAGTATTGTTAAACATAATAAGTTACCATTTATCAGTATGATGATTAAGCAGCACTTAACAAATAAAATATAGTTGTAATCGAAAAATTTAACAAACAAGTGAAATGTTTCGTATTTATGGTAGTAATCATCATGGATTTTAACAATTCACCGAACTATAGCACATAATTCATATAATCATGTAATACTTTTTTTTTTTTTTTTGACAATAATTTTGCTGAAATTTGCGCTAAATTACAACTGAACCATAACGATCAATAAATCCGAATTAATAACTAACAAAAAATAAAAAGTACTGCAAATTTATTTGTTTTTTTATTACAATATTGACACTTTTTTTCTTCAAGACAATAACTATTACTCATTAATTTTTAAGCAACTATTTAGCTATTTTTTTCTCGACTTAAATCCGATGACATATATCTTAAATTTTTTCTCAAACAATACGACATCCTTCGGCACATTTTTCCAACCAATAATAACATATCAAATTTTTTTATGCAAACAAAAAAAAAAAAAAAGGAATGAAGAATAATGCCCTGATAGATCAATGTAACATCAAAATGATAAATGATGACGAATTTTGAGACGATTTATAAAACTTAAGTTAAAAAAAGAAGTCTCTTACCGAACGAATGCTCAAAATTTTGTTTACAAAAAGTAGTCGAAAAGAGGACAAGCTGACAGACAGTTGCAAAATCAATAAAAATTTGCAAAAAAAAAAAAAAGAAAACCTGAAAATTTCTGACACATACAGCTTCACCATGGCCCTTTGTAATTTCTCTGAAATGGAAAAACTTTCGAAACAATCAATGCTTCTGATGCCTACAAAGTAAGATTTAAATTCCTAGTAAAGTATTTAGATTTAAATTTCTAGTAATGCAAAAGTAACTACGGACAAAAAATTAATGATATATCTAACATATAGTGTTATTATATTAGAGAAATCGAAGTGTGATTTATTTAAGGAAGAGTTACAGCTAGGAAAAAAATTTGTAAGTGGAATTTTTTGGCATTAATTTCTTTGACTTGTTTTTGACTATGCTTAAATCCTTCAATTTCTCTTTTACGCATATTTCCAAATAATAATACTTTTCACAAATTAATCAAATTTTCGCACATTTCTGAACAAGAATAATTGTGCAAATGATTAAAAAGCACTGCAACTTCACAGTGAAATTTTTACGTATCACTTTGTGACATAAAGATAAGTGGGAAATATGAGAATAAATTTTTAAAAAATCTATAGTTAAACACATTCGCATACATTTTGCCTGATTTTGCATGAAAAAAAAAAAGAAACCAATATTGAAACAAAAGAAATGAATGCAGCAACGGGATACTGGCAAATATAAAAATGAAATGGAACGGAATTCTGAAAAAAAGTATCAATCATAAATTGACAAATCCATGAGTTGATTTTAAGTGTGAGATAATTCAAAACATATAAAAATAACAAATAATAAGGCAAAAAATCATTCATGCCTAGTTTCTTCACAAACAACTGAGAAGTCTTCAAATATGAGTTGAATCGACCAAATGTTCCTTTCTAGCATTTACTGCTACCACTAAGCTAACTTTCATCAGTATTTTGGTCAGTGAGCATACTTAGTTTGTTGGCAAATAAATGTGTTTCTTGTAAAGCATTTTCAGTCACATTCGAACCCTGCAATTATAAACCTAGTCATTTTGGCACAACTATTCATTAAAACTGCTACGTGCGCATCTAATAATTTTTTTTTTTTTTTTGATACATTAAATTAGAAGTTAGATTACAAAGTCAGCCATCTCAATATTCGCCTTAACCATTTACTACTTCAGTTTACTATAAATCTTCAAAATAATAAATTCAAAAATTTCGAGATATATTAAACGAAAAATAGACATACTGATAAATACAGTGGTGCTTAAAAGTAGCGATGATTCTATGTTCATTTCATGAACAGATTTCAAACAGTAATATAGTATAGAATATGTACACTCACGTAATTCTCTGCTGCTTTCAAGATGTTCACTGGTGTAGGTATCTTGGAACCACGAAGAAAACTTTCTAGTTGTCCGGAAGCTGCACAGATTAGGCCAAAAAGTGGTGGACTTGGTTTTAGAGGATGCGACAGATATTCCGGATGAAACTGGACACCAACAAAATATGGGTGACCTAAAATGAATATCAGAAACACTTATAATTTTAATGATAGATTCAAGGATCAAAATATGTTGAAAAGTGAAATTAATGCAATATACCATACATTAAAATGTGAAATTGCCTCTAGAAAAGCTCCAAAATGTGACTGATATGAAAGAAGAAGACAAACCTTGCAATTCAAAAATCTCCATACGTACAGATGTTATATCAGTTTCATCATTTCCAGTTCCACATAAGTCTTCAATTTTTGACAGCAAAACTTCCTGAAATACACTGACTATGATCGATGATCATAACATGAATCAGTCGAATTCATCATTTACATCATTATGCTACGACATTACAGTCTAATGAAATGGACATTACAGCATACTCGCTCAGAGATTTCGTACATTTCTTCCATATTGTTCTCCTCCATGATTTTCGAAGTTTCACATTCAGCTAATTTCAACAGTGTAGCATATGATGATACCTTCCCATTCATATGTGCCGCATTCTCATTTGCTCCCATACCTAAATGACAAAAAAAAAAATTTTAGTTATGAAGTTCGGTTTACTTTTTTTCCTTTCATCAATGCAATTTTTGCAGAACAACTCAAACTGATCAAAAATTACCAACAAAGAGTAGACCAGCTCGACTAAGTTTTGAAACAACTCTAGGATTAACTTCATAACGATGCCGATGACGTTCACTGATTTTTCTTGCATCATATAATTTTCCTAAAAACTTAAACCATAATTAAATTTATTTGATTCTGATATTGCAACAAAACAGAGATAAAAAACATGGACTATAAGAGAACGTCTGATAAAGACATACGTAATTTGCAGTTTCCCGTCAGGAAAACTGTATCCCTTAAACCAAGACGCATTGTACCACCCATACCTTTCTCGTTACCTTTGTGCTCTGGCATGTCGATTACTACCTTAAAATATTAGAACTTTCAGTGTGCATTTAAATTATGTTCTTAAGAAGAATGTCTACACACTTTTATACTTCCGGTAAAACATGTATAAATAAGCTAAATAACAATAAAAAACAAAATCGATCAGAAGGAAAAACTTTATCAGAAAGAGAAACTTTTTGATGTGTGAGAAAACTTATTTTCCAATTTCAGATAAGCATTATTTCCGAAAAAAAAAAAAAAGCCACATCTTTCTTTTTATCTCGTTATTATAGCCCAAGCAGTTAAAACTTATCATCTACCTGTTGTTCTCCGACAACTGTCATGTCAAATTCTGTTGAATTAGCACCTTTGATACCGCAGACATTTCGTGCAAATTCGATTACAGCACATTGCATACCCAGACAAATTCCTAAAAAATTAATAAATGCTGAAAATAGTGCTCTATTAGATCATAAAAACAGTGCATTTTATTAATTCAAAAATTAAAATATTTAAACAGATAAAGTCAAGAATGACGACGTAGAACAAACCTAAGAATGGAATATTATTCTCTCGTGCATACTTGCATACTGCAATTTTTCCTTCAACACCACGACCACCAAATCCGCCCGGCACTACTATACCTCTAAAATTACAATTAAATTATACAACTATTCAAATTCATGATGATGAAAAAGAACATTACTATATGCTGGCATAATAAAGCTAAAAAATATTCGGCGGGTAATCGCAATTTGCAACTATTAAACGTTTTCTTAGTCTGCGACAACAATAAAGAACATGTTTAAACACTTTTGCAGGTAAATGAGACATAATCATCATTTATACTACCAAGGAATTGTTATTAGAAATTAGATACAGAAACGGTCCACTGGGGAAAGTCATATGACTAGAAATGGACAGGACCTGCAAACAGGAAGCTCCAAACAAAACCAACAATCCACCGTAGTGATGACCGGTTAAGACTGGGCGATCGGAACCACCAAAAACCTAAATGGCGGGTGAACCAAACGGTATAGTTTCACAGTGACATTATATGATTCTTTCAGAAAGTTTGCAATGTAATTGCATTATCACTTTCATTTCATTAATTGAATAGATTTTATAATGACTTTTGTTGGTTTTATAATGACGTTCAAATTTCTAGCAAAAGTACCAAGATGACAACAGGAAGATGAGTTATTAGCATAAAAGAAAACAAATAAAGCTTACTGGCATTGTTTAATCGTCTCCCATGCACGTTTATAATTCGTTGTATGTGATGAATCATTCATTTCTTGAAGATGTTCCGAATGAATATACTGCAAAAGAATGTATGCCACACAGTCAAATCGAGCACTTGAAATATATTAAAATATAAATATTATTCTTTCAATTTAACAACCATATTTAATTCATCTATGAAATATGTATTTATGATAACATAGACGTTTGGAACTAAAGATAAGTAATATGAGACAGATAATTTGAAATATGCGTTCTTATTGCTGGTAAAAACTAGAATAACTTATAATATTTTAAAATCACTTCAAAAATATTTCGGAATAATTCAATAAATTTACATCTATATTGTAAATTTATTGAAGAATTATTTAATTCAGAATGTATTACAGAATTATTTAATTCAGAATATTTCTTTATGATTTATAAAAAAATGTAAAATAAACGTCTCTATGTTTAATGTAAGAAATCTTTTTATCCAACTTTTATTCTTATTTTCCACAATCAAGCTTATCTTGAATGTTTAAATACTATAAACCAATTTACATATAAATAATTTTGGCCTGACAATTAATTTTATATCAAACTGTAATTAATTCTCCTTTCACGAACATCTCTCCGTTCACTTAGCTCTTTCTGTATTTTTCAGAATGTTATAACTTCGTCTTGTTGCAAACATTTCTACTACATAAAAAGTAGCAACCTTTTTCTTACATTTTCTAGAAAATAAATTGGCTCAGATTCAAACCTACTCAACGCTACAATTTAAAATCTCAATCAAATTTAAAAGAAATACAATTTATCTATTCTAACATTCCCCGATAATTAACTATGTTATAATGCTTTTTAATAAAAATTTTATTCCAATTCATCTTGCCACTCAAAACAAAAGGATTGCATCTTTATATTCAAAAAAAAAAAAAAAAAAAAAATCCTTTACGACACTCAACAGAGCATCATATACCGATAGTATTTAGATCATATGTGACCACTAATCCATAATTTATTCATTAAAATTTCTTGTCAATAGTGAAGAACTTAATCGACACAAGTACATAAAATAAAAAGGAATGATTGGTTCAAAACTGGCGTCTGAGTTCTGTTATAATTCTTTTATTCAGGAAAAAGATAAGCTATGAATACTAAATAGTTTAGTAATTAAAAGTTTAAGTATAAAAGTGAACAACTGATACTTTAGAGCAGTTAAAGTTTTCTTGAGTAGTAAAGAGGAAAAATAATTTAAACATAAATCTACCGAAATAACAAGTTGTCGTTTAGCATGAATTGCAGAATGTCGAAGAGCTTTGTTCAATGATGCATATGCATCGGGGATTTGTACGTATTTTCCAACTAATGCAATTCGAACTTCTTCATGAAAACTATCGCAACTGCAAATCATTTAAACAATTACTGGGATATTTAAATTAATTATTTTCCCTATCTTGATATTTATCATCATTCACTTGTTTTGCCATTATCTTAATTAAAATCCATAAAAATAAATCTCAGTTAATCAATATCATTGAAATTAAGAAAAATCAGACTAACAGATTAGAGAGGTGTATCCATTGGAAAAGATTTGGTTTTAGTATTAGCGTGCCTTCAGCATTTACTGCTGTTAATTTTAATCGTTCGACAATCATTTCTAATACATTTTGCTTATGAAGCAGAAGTGGTACTTTGTAAATATTTGAGACATCATGTACACCAATCACCTAAAACAAAATGATCTGTACAACTGAGTTTATTTTTATCAGTAACAAGATGATCCTCTGGTATAAAATTAAAAAAAAAAGTTTTACCTGTTGTAATTCAACCATTCCAAACGCCGCAATTTTTTCACGTAATGCTTTATTCAATGGTCGCTCACTTCGACAAACCAGCAAATCTGGAGTCAGACCACTGGCTCGTAAATTGCGCATGCTATTTTGCATTGGTTTCGTCTTTAGCTCACCAGTACTTTTCGGTTCCAATATTACAGAAACATGCACTGTAAACAATAGTTGTACAGTAAATGATCATCTAAAATGGTGATAAGAAAGAAAGAATAGTAAGATTTAATTCTGACTAGTTCTTAAATTCATATCAAAATTAAAAAACCTGTCATCAGCTGATCTTTGAATGCAGGTCTTTGGAATTTTTCAAAAGCAGCAACAAAAGGCATACTTTCGATGTCACCAATGGTACCTCCAAGCTGAAACAGTTATACAATTTTTCATTTTCATTCTTTCTTGATTGTGTTCTTTCTAATCAAAATTTTTAATAATAATTTCGATTAAAAAGAAATTTTAACGAATGAATTGTAAAAACGGATGGATTTATCATACTTCAACAATGCAAACTTCCGGTCGCTGATCAGTATCATCAACTGGTATTGCTGCAACACGTTCAACCCATTCAATGATTGCACTTGTTATATGTGGTATCGTTTGCACCGTTTTTCCCAAATAATCACCACGTCTTTCACGTTCGATAACCTATAAATATGTGATGAATATTTGATATGAATTCTTTCTAAAAATTCTCTCCACAGGCTTTTCTTAAAATATTTCTATACAGTTATCAAGTCCACCTAATCCAGAAAGTATCGCATTGAAAATAGATGTTTACAATGTGAAAACCTGCTGATATATCTTGCCAGTTGTAATATTGTTATCACGTGTTAAACGAATATTCAAAAATCTTTCATAGTTACCCAAATCCAAATCAACTTCACCACCATCATCCAAAACAAATACTTCGCCTATAATAAAGTTGACGTATCATCCGTAGTAAGACAATAAGTTATATCATTTGTTTATCACTATAAAACTACTGGTGACATCTTGCTTCTTCAGAAAAAGTACATTTACAGTTAAACATATCGATCAGATGTCACTACTGTTTTTTGGTTTTGTTAAAAAATGCAATTTGAAATCCTTACCATGTTCAAAAGGTGAAAATGTACCAGCATCGATGTTAATATATGGATCAATTTTAATGAACGAAACCCGGTAACCATGAGCTTTAAGCAGTACACCTAAACTAGATGAGATAATACCTTTGCCAACACCACTGATGACACCACCTGTCACCAATATCATTTTAACTGGTTCCACCATTTCTGTGTCCAATAGTTTGAAATTAAAGCCACCTGAACAAAAAAAAAAAAAAAAAAAAAAAATTTATTGATATTATACAATTGAATTGAGTATATAGGTTACGCACGTGAATTTAGAAAGTTCTAACCAAATCAAAAAAGAGAAACTTTGAATACTAATACTATGGTACCTAAATTGCTATTTTTCATATATAGCTATTGAAATGATTACAAATATTCTCTAAGTAATCTATAACTATCACAGATATATTATTAGCGCTTAACAGCAATTACAGCTTCAGCTTAACAACAAGGAAAAAAAGTAATAAAGATACACACATCAATGCTTTATTCAGCATATACTACAATTTATACACAATACAGCTCAATAGAGCTAATACTATATTTAAAAATTTTTAGAAGTATTTGGAGGAAAGTAATTCAATCAAAGATGAAAATAGAGGAAGAAATAACAACTCAAAATAAATGTGAGAAGAGAGGACAGAAACTTGGAGATATTATTAGATCTAGTTCATGGAAATATTAATGCATGTACTACTGACCTCAACGTCACCTATTTTCGAATTGTTATTTATGCTCCAAACAGCGTAACAGTCATTATTATTAATTATTCTCTGGTTTTTTATTTCCTTTAACTTAATAGCTAAGTAATACAGTGTTATTCCCAGCTTCTTTTGTCAAGGACTAAATAATTTTACGAATATTTAATCTTATCCGAATTTTCGCTATCTGCAACATCCTTAATACTTTCTAATTCTGAGAAATCGAATTTAAATTCAGGCAATGACATGTTATCCAACTCTGGAGGACAAGGCGTCGGAACAGAATTGTCAAAATGGGGCCGTAACTCTGCCGGACCAACAGTCCATGCCTCCACTTTTGTTGGCATTTCATCACCATATAAATCTAACCAAATTTCTGGTCTTGTTTCATCATAAATAGAATTTCCATGTACCGTTTCAACCTGTAACACTTCATTCAACGAAATGGAAGTTTAATCATATAACTGAATAGTGAATTACGAAATTAATCCACAAAATCGCAAAAATATAGAAGAAACTTTACTGCCGAAATTTCAAAAAAAAAAAAAAAAAACTGAAACATAAATTAAATTTAAGCAGACCTTCTTGAAAAGGTGTTTAATCATGCCAAATTGAGGGTCCAAACATAAATCCAAATCTATCCGTTTTTCCTCCATCCTTACTACATCACCGTTTTCACATACAGCTCGCTGAAATCTTTTCATGGGAAACTTCCATTTTGCATTAAGAAACATGTAATTACATATGGCGAAATTTGGTTACGAGTATTCGAAAGAGTTGTTTAAATTTCACTTTATGGAATGTCGTTTTTGTCACATTTTGACAAATTTTGGTTTCAAGTAGTTTCATTGAAAAAAAAAAATTATGGACAAAGAAGGAAAGTTGTTAGCAATACTTTCGTCAGAAGAAAACATCAATTTTTAAATTAATTTAAAATCTATGACACAAGTAAAAAGTTCTGAAAGTACTGAAACAAATCTTCAAAGGCTAATAACACACAAGATACGGAGGAAGTGGCATCGTCTTCGGATACTCGATTGGTTTCATAGGACTGTCACACTTCATGAATTCATCTTCCTCGTGCTTGTGAATTAAACGCCAATCTGTACAAAAAGAAACTGAATAATGATTAAATTAACTGTGAATTCACTTCAATTTATTTATAATGCCCTTCTAATTTCAAGAATGATTCCATGGTATTTGAAAGTGAACAATGGCCTCGCTAAAATGACACAGAACTGAAAATGAAAAACATAGAATTCTGAATTTAACAGACGGCAGAGAAATTGCCAAAATGGACAGTTTTCAAAAAAGAAAAAAATAGCTGTGACAAACCTGAGCGTGCCAAGTCGGCACTAAACTCATACAAACCTAAATTAATGCCTCTAAAAGTCCAATCTGCCCAAAGTTTTCCCCGAAGTAACCAACGATCCATACTTGGACAAGCCTAAAAATCAAATTTCAACCAAAAAAAAAACGAATTTTTCAATGCGTTGACAAAAAATTAATTCTCTGACAACTTCCATCTTTCCACTAACATTCAGAACTAGAAAATTATTATATCAGAGAAATTTAACTAACGGTCAATTAATTGTGACTCTAAATAAAAGGAGGTAAATACCATCAAAATAAATCTTCGACATATCTTCCCTATTTCTATCAATTTTATACCTTCAACAATTCATCCCTTTTACCTGAACAATTTTTAGGTAAGATGGTTGTTTCGGCCATTTTCTCGCCCATTCATTCTTTGTTACAATCCTTCCAATTCCAAGATTTCGCAACTGACAAAGGATCTCCCAAAGAAATTTTCCTTCAGCATTTATGTCATAATTCCCGATGTAGCGTATATTTGGAATCATTTTTTTTTTTTTTTTTGATAAAACCTACAACAACAATCATTACTACTAGCTATTCGTATAACTTATACAGATCTACTAGAAATTCGTCAGCGTATTGTGTTTTTAAGACAGCAATCAATTGAAACAATCAGAGTAGCAAAGCAAAAAAAAAGTGAAATTTTTAATTTCACTTTTTTTTTTATTGTTAATAACTTTTCATTCTGCAAATTTTATACATACACTACAAATAGTTGCATGTGTGTGTGTGTGTTTACTTACAACAGTTGAAAAAAAAAAAAAGATAAGCGATCTGCAAGATAAAAATTTTAGTCAATAATAACAATAATAAATTTTTAAAGAGAAAACAACAACCAATAACAACCCATGACAGTAACAAAGATTAAAAATTTTACATAAAGACTTTAAATACTTTTTATTTAATAATGATAACAACGAATCTAAAAGTAATATTTTAGTAAGAACAACGAATTAAAAATAATGTCAAAAGAATAATATTTAAAAAAAAAAAAAAAAAAGCGAAAGAGAAAGAGAAAAGAAAAGTTCATCCATATAAAACAATTTGACAAATAAAACAAATCAAGAAAATTATTGAAAGAAAAAAAATGAAAAGACATTAAGACAAAAATATTTTATCTAAAATCTTTAGTGCGGAAATATTTCTGCGACATTTTGCGCATTTATACAATAATGATAGGTTAACATTCAAATTGCCAAACATTTCACTTCTTTTTGTTGTATTACATTCAGTGATAACGTCAATATATCTATCAGTAAATCGCAGAGTGTTCTAAACTGATTCTTTTCTTTTGCCTTTGCTATCATTGCTTACCAAATGAAAAATCAATAATGCATAGTTAAGCACTGAGATTTTTTTGTGGGAGTTATTTCATCCAGTTGATGTTAAAATCATTTCACATGCATTAGTTCTCGAATTAAAAATATTTGCTACATTAGGTAAAAAATTTCGTTTCATTTGTTTTTCTTTTTTGACTCAATAAAGTTTTTTTTTTTTAAGAAAGAAGTCAACCAATTGATGCTATATCCAAATAATTAAACAATTAAGATTTCCCGTATAATGTCTGGTTAATTTTTCAATTTCTAATTAATTTAGCAAAAAAAAAAGAAAATCGTTCAACTAAATTTTAGCGAAAATTGTAACACAAATGAGTATTGTTTGTTTTTCAGGGAATAAAATTCTCTCAGATAATTCTTTTGATTATATAACTAAAGTATTTAATTTTCAAGCACTTTTCTCCTTTTTTATATTCAGTATAAATTCAATCACAAAAAAAAAAGAAAGAAAACCGATGATTCCTTTTTCAAAATTATTTTTATTATACTAATATTAATAATTATCGTTAATTTAATAAATAATATTTGGCATTTTAATACTCAAGATTTCAAATAATATTTTGAAATAATATTTATGCATTTATTTCAAATAAAAGAAAAAAGAATTTTTTTTTTTTTTTTCAAATTAAAATGTCAACAATGAAATATTGTTTATAATTTGCCATATTAATTCGTTTGTTTTTTTCAATACTGTACAAAGCTTTTTTCCCATTTTCACTTTTTTTTCCTGTTATTAGCATATTTTTTCCTCCCTTTTTTTTTTTTTTTTTATTATACTCTTTGCTTTTTTGAAATTAAGCAAAAAATTTTTCATCCCTTACTAATTTCAAAGAATTTCTGCAAAATTCATTTTGTGATTAGGAAATGCTTTGTAAACAAATAGAATTCCCAATAGGGATCATCTGAAAGTTACAGTTCACTTTTATAAGTTTTTTCTTTTTTTTTTATTTTTTTTTGTAAATCTATTTAGAAGTAACTTTATGGATTTACTTTACTTAGAGTCATACTACTGCAATCATTGGTCTATCATAAACGAATGGAATGGGTGCAGGAACGTCAAAAATTAATTATAATGATTTCGTGCCATACAAGGACTTAGTAAATGATTTGGTATATGAAATTAATAATTTCGTCCATATCAACAAAAAACGATATAAAATAGATGCATGTTTACAAAGTAATGATGAAATACGTCTTAAATTTACCGAAAATTGCTTCATGCCGATGAAATATGATGACATTTTAATGTCAAAATGCACAAGAAATCGTATGCTTTTACTTATTTCATTTCTTTTTTCTTTTAATTTCATTTTAACAAAAAAGAGAAAATGATGAGAATTACCTTTTTTTTTTTTTTTAAAGTATCATCATATTAACTTATTTGAAATTGCAACATTTTGAACAATTTGATAAAATATCATTCTATCACTTCATTATAATGTAAGAAGAAAAAATATTATAAATGGTATCAAAGTTGAACTTTTGAATGTATACATAAATGAATGAATGCTTGAGAAGAAATAATGAACAATTGCATTCCACTTGAGTTAATGACACACAATTGTCTAATGTTTTTCGTCTTACTTCATTTCATAAATTCAATTATTATATTATTAGGCTTATCACTTCTATCCTGTTAATTGAGTTGTTTACGAATAAATATTGAATTTTTAACTTAAGATATAAATAAAAAATTTTAACCTTGGAATAATAACAAAATTCTAAATTTTTATTGGTTATAAAAAAAGCTAGAAATAGTGATTAAATTGTAGTAATCTTGTAAAATATCATTTGATCTTATTTAATTTCATAACTTTTTTTTTCAAATGGCAATTCATCAACAAAATTATTTCAGAGATTGTTAATGGGATAAACGAATGGCAGCTTATTTTAATAATTTTTCCTGTCATTAAAAAACGACGTCGTTTTGTTCGAGTTACTTTAACTTTTAGCTGTGAAGATACAGCAAAATATGCTGATAAATTCATTGCCACAAAAATTACAGCAGCAAGAGCACGTATGTAAATTTTTTATCATTTTTAAATTCAGAATGCTAAATATTAATTAGTGGAAAATGGATTATAAAATATTGGTTATAAACGAAAACAGGTAGCTTGTAATAATAATAATAACAGATATATCGTCTACCGCAATGGTAATAATGTTAGAAAAAAAAAAGTAACAGACCAATATTTTTCCTTAGTATAACTTAGCAATAAAAATTTGTAATTTAAAAAATAAATCACGATTTATCAATTTATCAACTTTCAGCACATCTAATCACCTGTGTTATAAGGCCACGTCGCCATATATTGGTTATTGTTAATCCTTTCAGTGGCCAGAAACGTGGATTGAAATTATGGGAAACACATGTTGAACCAATTTTAAAAATTGCCAACATTGATTATGATATTGTTAAAACAAGTTCATTAGTTTCTTTCCATTTTTGTTTACTCTTTTTTTTTTCTTTTGTCTATAAATTTATCAAAATTATACAGTTTCTTTTTTTTTTTTTTTTTAATTCGCTGATTGGATCAATCAATTTTTACTAAAGTTTTTTTTTTTTTAATAGCAATTTTTCGACAATTTAATAAACTTTCAAAAATTTCAAGTTCATCGGAAGCATGCAGTTGAAATAGCAAAAAATCTTATACTCGATAATTATGACGCTGTAGCTGCTATTAGTGGTGATGGATTGATACTGGAAGTAATATCAGGTTTGCTAATGCGACAGGATCGTGAACGGGCACTAAAGATGCCATTAGCTCATATACCTGGTGGTACAAGTAATGGACTTGCAGCCAGCATATGTTTCCAGTGCAAGTAAAGCATACTATTTGCACTTTTATTTTCAGTTTTTTTTTTTCTCTAAATGAAAATGTTGAAATTTTTTTCCTTTTTCCTTAATCGCTCATTGCTTTATTTAGCAAACTAAGAAGTGAAATTACCGTTAACAGCTAATTTACAATTTACAGATCATTCCGTTAATGTTATTAATTTTCAGTGAACCATTCTCACCACGTGGAATTTTTTGTACCGAAATGGCCATAATGTTAGCACGGCCACGTTATCTTCCGTTACGTATTAATCATGTGCAGACAGAACATGATGGTAGCAAAGCGATGTTCATGTCGCTTACGTGGGGTCTTATTGCTGATATTGGTTCGTTTCACTTCATTTTTATTCGCTGATTTCAAATTAATTGTTGTGTCCTATGTATCATTTGATATTCTTCTTTTTTTTTTTTTTTTTTTTCCAATGCAAGCTTTAGAATATTTTAAAAAACCGTAAATATCATTTATATGATTATAACGTGAAATATTTCATTTAATAAAAAAAAAAGTAATTTAGGGCATTAATAGATAAATATGTTAAATACTCTATTAGATATATCGCAGGTTTCATCGATATGAGGCAGAATATTCTATAGTAAAAAATACGATTATAAATTTTTGGTCATACAATTCTTATAATATATGATTCGTTGATTACAACATGTGTCATTAATAAAGTGGGCAGTGATATGTTTGTTTCATTATTGTTAAATTAAAATCAAATTATTCATCAAATTCTTTGTGTATATCCATGTGAAGTTGTTTAATTAGTGTTAGCAAATTGAAGATATCGGAAGTGAACGTTTTCGTTGGGCAGGTATGGCACGACTGCATATGGAAGCCTTTCTGCGAGTAGCAAGTTATTCTTTTAGCATTAAAAAAAAAAGACGAAAAGATGACAAATCATCGACTTCAATTATTGTTTTTTTTTTATCCTTTAAAGAAAATTTGACACGATCGCTTTCCAGAATTACCGCATGTTGCTCGCTACAAAGGCAGGATTTCATATTTGCCAGTTCTTGGCAATGTTTTGCAATGCCCGGCAAAATTATGGTAGTTTTTTTGTTCTTTGTTTTAGTTGTTTTCTTTTTTTGCTCAAGAAATTTCTTTTTAAAAATCAAAATGAATTTTTCACTGTTTTAAATATGAACTTTGACTCAAACATAAGAGTTTTAATATTTAGCCTTTGTTTAAACTGTTATTATTTGCTAAGTTGGGTTAGCATTTAATATTAAAGCTTTCAATGGGCAGTGAACTTTATTGCTTTATCTAATCATAAAATAATATATGATGAAAAGCTATTATCACAATAAT